TATTAACGCGTTACATATACATCATTAATTTTTACTTCTTTGGTCAACTTCGAAACTACATCAATATTCACGGTTGATACTTCTGGTTTCGAATTCGTTTTTCAGCATTCGAAACTTCGCTGCCCAAATTCTTTACATTTAAAACGCTTGACCCTCTTATCTTTATGAACACATTGTTTGGAAATATGACCGCTTCTACCGCATTTGAAACAGGTTGTATTACGTTTAATCTCAGGAATTGTTTCTCGACTTATCGGTTACATTACACTTTGTTTGGTTAACACATTTGAATTTGAGACATATTTATGTTCTAGATTCATTTTTTTGTTTACTTTTCAAATTTTGTCTTTGACGTTCGCGACCTTTTCCTCATCATCACATATCTGCTGATAAAGCTTCAACTTGTTCTTAAAATCAGTTAATGTTTGTCACCCATACAAGGCAAGATATTTTTAAACGCGGAGCCTGGTGTACCATCTATGACATATCGTATTAAAGCAACATCTTTCAATATGATCCATTTTTAACAGTTCTCTTCATATTTAAAAAAAAAAAACTCATCAAACGTTTCATTGCTCTTCATTTTTGTTTTGATAATAACCTCATGCAGTTCGGCCGAATTGCAGCTGGAGCGGAATTCATCAAGAATGGCATTCTTAAAAACTTGCCATGAGTTCAACTTGGTTCACTAAGAACAATAGTAGTTGCGCTTTGCCTGTCATCAGACGTTTAGCAAAAATCAGTTTTGTAAATCATTTTAACTGAAGAATAGTAGCTGCATCTTCAAAACTTTCTACCCAACTACTGACATTTCGTGGCTTTGGCCATCAAATTGAGCAAAAAAGATTTGATATCTTTAGTAGTAACATTTATACTACAGTTATGAAATACATTCGACTTGTTTTCAATTGTACTAAGAATATTATCATTAGCACATTGGGAAGGAAGTTGTCTCACTGTGGCACCAGAATTGTTTCTTAGTTTCGTTTCATCTCGAACATTATCATCTACTTCATTTTTATCCCCAGCATCCACACCCTCTAAATCACTTTTGTTTTCACTTTCTTCTAAAATTACATTATTTTTAAGCAATTCTAAATTATTCAGATAAGAAGCAATTCAGGTTGCTAAGTCATTTTGTGTGCCAGAGCTATCAATGCATAAAACATTGGCAATGGAAATTAATTCATAAGCCTGAAAATCTTGTTTGATTTTTTCTAGTTTTTCTGCTTTTTCACTTTTCAGGACATCTTCCATTCCCGGCACATCAATTAGAAACATAGTTAATAAAATTGAGGAAATCATTAACTATAATGGTAATCCACGATGTTCCTGGCTCTATAATCCGGAAACAGAAACGAAACAATGTACTTCCATACCATCCAATGGATCACAAATGGTGTCGACAAAACAGGTTAGTCCGAATGGATTTTTGGCCACAATTCACGTCTTGACACATGACATCCAGTATTATTAAAAATTTATTCCACAGTCTTTAATAGAGCTGCACACTATTTACTCACTATTATGCAGTTTAAGTTCAGGTAAATCAGCATACATTCCTAGGAAGTTTGACGAGGGTTTTGTTTCGAAACATAGTTCATTATACATTGTAAAACAGTCCAGCACAGCAACAGTAAATCTTCAAAACCAGTAGTAATCCAGGAAAGCAGGTAAAATTACAGTTCATTCGAGTGGCTGAAGTGCTTATCCCACTTCTGAGAAAATTTTTGTGGGGATTTAACGATAAACAAAATTAATTAAAAAAGACATTTTAATTACACAAACGATTATTACATAAATTTAACATTTAAGAGAATTAAACAAGTAATGATTCGTCAAAGTTCTTTTTGAACAGAAGCAGCGTCTCTGCTCCCACGTCAATCATCTATCATCTCAAAATGGTAATTCCTCTAATTTTTGCTTAGTGCCTTTGGAGCTCGTAGAGAGAATGACGTCATGCCATCTGGTTTTCATCACAGCTCCAAGCGATAGGCACTACATATTTAATAATAATATATCCTACAAACAGATTTATTTTATTCTTACAATGGTATTACAAAAGTGAAGTTCAGGTGTTCATAATTGCTTTTGTTTATTAATTTCCCTCTGATGATAGGTCCTTAATTTTTATTAACATTGCAGTATTTTTTTGTTTATATATGCGTGCATCTTGAATCTCAGCTGCTCTTCTGTGTTGTTCTCTGTTGCTTTCTAGCTTCAAATCATTTAGCACTACTAGAACTGCTGTGTACTATGGCTCCTAAGTTGTCACTGTTGTGTTTGTCACTGTTCAGTCTGATATCCCTGTTGTCTGATATTACAAAACTGAATTTGCATCAATGTGAAAAAAATCTTAGCAATTCATTTTCTAATTTTGAATGGATAGATTGAACAGATGAGAAAATTTATTCTAATTCTGCTGAACTTCCATCCCAACTGCTTTACACAGTTCATCTGAAATTCCATAAATGACATTCTTTTCTACCATACAAGATTTAGTATATTGCGAATGGCATCAGTATAAAGCAAGATATTGGAAATGATACATTCTCAACAGGTTTAGCAAGTTTGCTCATGACAGAGAAAACTGGCCAGGGGGGGAAGAGGACTTTAAAATTTATTTCACATTAATATCATTATATTTATATTTTATTCATATATGACATGAATATATATCTAATCCATTTAAAAAAGTCTTATATGTAATATGTAGTAAGAATTATTCAGTTTTGTATTTTGTTGCAAAAATAAGAAAACATTTATTTTCAAATCAGTTAAATGATTATCCTTTTTAACTACTCCACACTTTAACAATATTAATTTCTTCGACTCTGTTCCCTATTCTTCCAGTTTTTACTTGTTTCTTCTGCTATCCTGAAAGAAATGTGTTTCTTCTGGAGAAGACCTAACCCTTTTTATATTATTCAATAATTCAGGAGAATGTTTGATAAGCTTTATATATTTTCTTCTAAATTTTTCTTTTTCTTTGTTTTTCCCTTATGAATATGTTATATTTCCGAGAACATATAAGAGTAATCAGCTGCAGCCATCATGGCTGAGCGTGAAGACTTACAGTTGAAGATAATAAAACATGAACTTGTAGAATTTCCAGTCTTTGTTTCTGCACATATAAAATCATCTCCATAGATGTTTATCCAATCATAATGAAATCCGATAAATTGCTTTTTACACCGATTCGTAAGATAAGACCCAGGCACTTTTGACAGAGAAGGAAAGCGAGGAGATATTAGAAAGATGCAAGCCAGGGGAAAAAGCAGGCAGTTTATTTCCGGGGCGGTATTTATACGAAGTTCATGCAGAGAGTACTCTAAGCTCTCTACTGGTTAATTTGAAGTTGTTATATTATCATCGAAGATTCTTGAATTTGGAAGAAAAGAATTAATTTAGGGCAAGATCCTAAAACTGCAGAAAGTTAATTAGAGGTTGCCTGTTTGTGTAGAGCAAAGCCATCATATTTTTTATGTTTTACACACACACACACATATATATACATATTACTATTTTAATAGTTTTAAAAATTTAGGGAAAAGAACTATATATATTATATCTCTGTGAAGTAAATGTGAGCAGTGTTGGTAAAATTTAGCTTGAATAATTTATTTTTAAACTTATAATTTCTTTTATTAACAATTTCATTTATTTGTACCTCTTAGTGTCTTCACATAGTTTCATGACACATTAAAGATATTGAATTTTATGTAATTTTTGAAATTAGGTAATGTTGATTTGTTACTGATAATAACAAATAATTTACCTTCTCTCTGACTTCAAAAGTGATACTGAATAAAGAAGTAATTCCAGCAATTTACACAAGAAAATGAATTTTATAGTTGTGCCACTGTTTTCATTTTACTAACATTTTTACCGAAAAGATGTGTGATGGATTCAATTAATTTTCATTTGCTTAAAACATAAATAATGAAGAATTAAAATAAATAAAATTATTAAACATCTCAGTGTGAAATTGTTGTTGAAGCCATTAACCCTTTCGGGACATGGGCAACTATATCCATCACACAGCCAGTTGTGTCTTATATGAATCACTGTTTATATGCACTGTCAGTACCGGTATACCACAAACCAATTTTAGGTAGAATCTTTAATAAGTATCTATTCCCCCCCCCCATTTGATGTAGCTCTGTGTCTGTTACAGTTGAATTTATTGAGAATGGAGAATGTTAACTTTCATTTTGTTGCAGTATTTTTTATTTTTGGTATTTTGTTTCAGAATCAAGGTTGAAATCATGGGTTGAGTTATGTAAATAAACACAGCTATCTATAAGCTATTTATAAACACATGGGTGTGTTCTTCTGAAATTTTGTTTTGGCAATATGGGGATGTATGTCCTATTGTTTTAGATGTTTCATTCATTCTTATTAGAATTTAGCTAGTGTTGATTCAGGTAATTTGTGTGTCATTTAGCAAAACATTTCCTATACTTCAAATGACAAGAAGAATATAATAATCAAATTTTTCAAATTAGCTCTAATACCTATCTGAGTTTTCCTCTCATAATGTGCCAAAGATTGGAACAATTCGATCACAAATTTAATTTAGCAAATTTTTCAAAAAATTAGGCTTAGCAGCACAAATTTTCCATCCGAACAAGACAGTGTATCCTGTTAAGTGTTCTGTCCCCAGAGCAGTTTGGTGACTGAGGTGCCTGTCCCCAAAACTTTAAATATAATGTAACAATTTTTTAAAAGACTATAAAAAGATAACATAATGTAGTGTTATTTTCCAAAAGTCCGAATAAAATATCTTATTGTAACTATACACAGCTAAATAATTGTATCTGCAAAGTGTAAAATGTTAACAATTTTCTGAAGGTACTGATTACATTTCATTATAGTTTTATAAACATCTTTTTTAAGGTTTAACAAATTTCATGTTGTGGTAGTGTAAGGCAGAGTCTGCTTATATATTTCTTTCATTTATAATCACATGTTTTCTTAATGCATATTTTCAATTACAGCAAAATGACTTGGATATGATGCTTCCATATCTTCCTGTGCCATTACCTGAGCAAATTGAAGCCATTAATGATCTGCTTCTTAATGAAATTTCTCAATTTGGTCTGAGAGATAAAGATCTGATTATAAGAAAAAATTTAATTGATAGAGTAACTAAATTTGTAGAAGAGCATGTTCAGTGTGAGTAGTATTTTGTTTCAATGAAAAATATTCATGCTTAATATATTTAAAATTGCTTTTCTTTTCAAATTTTACATTATCCCCTAAACTGACAATTTGTTTAATAGTAGTTGAAAATGATAGTACAACTATGTGAACAAATGTGATTTTGCTCTATGACTTTGTAAGAGCGTTAAAGAAGCATGACTCCAAAACGGAAATGATTTTCACTTATTATAAAGACTAGCCATAATCTATACTTACTACGTAATTAAATAGATATTCATTCCCTAGAGGGAGCTGCAAGGAATTTTCTCCTTCCTTATGTTGCATCATCAAGGTGTAATTGAAAGCATATCTGGCTAGCAGTCAGAAGATTTGGAGTTAAAAAACTTCAATTAATTGCCGTGGTGCGCAATTAATTGGAAGTTGATCTGTCAGCACTATCCTTATCTTCAGAGCAGATGTTTTTATTTTATTTTGGCTTGTAATTCCTTACTAAATGTTGTATTTCATCTCGATGTACTCCGTCTTTGATATGCTTTAAATTAAGTTCCTCATCATTATAATTCGCTTCCGATAGTGAAGAAAGTGACACAGAGGTTATTGAAAACGAAAAAATTTCGATTGACAAATTAGTCGGTATTCTCGACACAGCAATTATAGGACTTGAACAGCGGAACTTTGTAACTGAACAAAAAATTATAGTCTGTTTATAGAATAAAAGAGAAAGTATTAGCACAAAAAATGAAGCAACTTTAAACAACTTACATTGAAAGAAATGTTTAATAAAGTAAACAAATAAATATTAAGCTTTTTCTTTTTGCAAATTTTGATACCCTTTAGATCATAATTCTTCTTTATTTCATAAATTATGGTTCCATATTTTTAATTTTGTAATTTCTGCATGCCATCTTACCAGATTTAAACTGATGATGTATAATCCGGAAAAATCGATAATCCAGAATCGCCGAAGTTCCGACGAGTCCGAATTAACGACTTTTGACTGTAATCTGAATTTTGTATAATAGTCAGACGAATCTTTAGATAAAAAGTAAATGATTTGTATTCAGATGTTATCTTTTTATTAACAATATAGTAGCATTCAGTTAAAACTCGGTGGTGACTGCAGAGAACAGTTTCTTAAATTTAATAGCAAACAAATGCTTATGAGTGTCTTTTAATGTCTGTTCCCCCTCCCTATTCTTCAAGAATGGAAGAAAAAAAGGGGAGGAAGTGAACACTATTATTAGTTTCAACTAGAGCTACTGGGTTTTCAATTAAGTATTTGATTATCTTTCTGTTAACATTTTAACTCAACAATTGCAGTGGAATGATGAAAATATAATCACTAGTTGTGAGTAAATGAGTATACTTTTAACTTGTCCAATGATATTTGTTGGAGGAGTGTGAGCATAGCTGTTTAACTAAACTTTCTAGGCTACTGTTCTGTTATTGGGACCTTGGTCGTCGCCATATGTTTTGATAAACTCGCCAAGAACTTGGTACATATGAAGTTGCCAATGTTTGCTTTTAAATTGAGAATATAAATTCTAAAGATAACTTATGTTTTTATTATTACTGTATTAAACATGGAGAAACAAAAGGATTACATTCTCAAAACTGATCTGAAGGATTGAGAATCAGTTTCCTAATGGCAATTTGTTTCATTTATGCATCATGTTTAGAATTTACTTCCCTTCAATACGGACGGTATCAACTTGATATGAATCAGTGCACTGCTTGTTAATTGGAACAGTTACATAAGGGAAGTCTGTTACAATGCATTAATATCTAGACTGTCAGTTAAAATTGATGGCACTGGTAATATTATCAAATTTGATGGAAGTCTGTTTTCACGTAGAAAAAATAATGCTAATCGTATTTTTCAGCTCTGGTGGATGTATGGCAGGATTTGTCAAGAAAGAAGCTGCTATGCCTAATTGCTAATGTTTTCAGATATTTTAAATGATGTACACACTTCGTGTTAATCTTAGTTCGCTAACCAAAAAATTTTTTTTTTCTCTGATTTCTTTGGGAAGCGGTTTAATTTACATTAAAAGTATATAATTTTACAAATATATGTTATGTTATTTTTTCCCTTGGATTTTTTTTTCAATCATATCGTAAATATTTTCGTGATTATTTGTATGCTTCGAATGTTTCGCCAAATTGTCAGCTTTTGGCGATATCTAAATCTGGTCCTGATAACAGAACAGTACCCTTTATAGTTTGGACAACCAAGTTTGCATACTTGATTATCTCTCAGTTAATATTTTAATAGCAAGCAGTTGCAATACAATAAAAAAAATCTGAAATTTAGTTGTAAGCAAAAGATTGTGTGTGGTTTTTTCCAGATTGGGTGTTTGCATCTGGAAAAAAGTGAACTCAGTGATTTGTGTTTTTCATTATGTACTTAATAATGCCAAAAATCTATGTTTTTTTTTTTTTTTTTTTTTTTTTTTTAATGCTGCTGAAAATTGTTAGGTCTGTGTATGAACATCTGTTTTCCTTTCATTGTTGTCTGTTAATATTTATGTATACTTATAGCATGCTCTGTGGAAGCTATCGGCTCATCAGCCACTGGTTTTGGCCTCCAGAGTAGTGCAGTGGACTTCACTCTAAAACTTGAACCTGATGATAGTGTACCCGATGCTTTAGAAAATGTGTTCAAAGCTATTAATTCTGGTAATTAATCCTGTATGATATTTCTTAAAAGGTGTGTGGGAAATTTTGTAAAATATAGCTATCTACTCTACAAAATTTTGATTGCTTTCCTTAGAAAGAAAGAAAAGCAAGTAAAACCAGAGGGAGAATAATAAGTAATAATGATGAAGCAATTAAAGTAGAGATGATTAAGAAATCAAAAACTGTTCAAAATTGAAGTTTGATTTTACTTTTGGGAAGAGGGGGGTGCTCAAATCTAAAACCTGGAATTTAATTTTACATGTTAACTTCTTTTATTTTATATAGAGCTTGGAAGTATTTTTAGGTATACATTCCATCAAATAATTAAATAGTGCCAAGAAGAATGATGATGATTTTCTTTAATTGTTTGTTTTTCCCTTGCTTTGCAATGACATGTAATAGAATTTTACTTGAATCAACCAGTTTTTATAATATGGAACTTTACCATATCTTTCTGTAGTCCTCGCAGAGTGCAAATTTGTTGTTGAGTATTTAAGCTGAGGCTTTAAAAGTTTTAGAGTGTATGGCAGGCATACTTGGCAGTTCACTTCAGCTCTGCTAAAGGTTTATTCTGGTTGTAGCCATTTTCACCAGCCAACATAAAATATGCACAGTTAATTGAGTCTTAGGTAGACTATTCTGTGTGTAGTCTCAGACTGCATTACTTAAATTTTAATTTCAGTTTATGTTATTTTATACACACACAAGTGGTAGAGTTAGTCTCTTGCATAAGAAGCATCTCCTGTTAAATTTCAAGATTTATCAAAAAGTCATTTAAACCTTCATAGAACTTTGTTATCATAATACAGACTAGACTTTTTTTTTAAGACATTGTTTCAAGTATATACTCAGTTAGAATCCTACAACTTTTATTTAAATATAAGTTGTTTTCTGACTAATTTGATGTGATTTACAGCTATTGAATATTTTAAAACTTATTTCTATCAAGTTCCTCCCTATGCAGACTGTTGACAGTATTTTTTTTCCTAGATATGAACAAAATTATCAGATCTCTCTTTTCTTAGGGTTCTATTTAAAATGATTATATGACAAATATGTTTTATATCTAAAAAGTACTAGTACTACTAGTTGTAGTCGTATTAAATGAGTTGTACTTAACTATAAAAAGTTAATTTATATCTAAAAGCATGTTAATAGATTTTTATTTGAAGAGCATTTGATTCTATATCCAAGTATTCAAATAATGTTGTAAGATGTTGATAAAATATGTATTTGAAAATTTTCTGTCTTCTTTTTATCATTAATTCCTTAAAAAGAAGAAATTCACCATCAGAAATTTTAAAGATGGATTATGAAGAGCGAGTTTAAAATTTCTCTCCTTTCTGCTACATAATTTATGTTAAATTAACTATGATGATGATTTTCTTTGTGAGTTTATAAGAATTCTTCTTCTTCTTACTAATCCCTCTGATCTGAGTCAGATCAGATCCATAAGTTAATTCGCCTTCATAACTTGCAGCACAAAATTAACCCTCTAAGCGGCAAGGCCGTATATATATATGGCCTAGAATATTTTTTGTGATATCTGCAAGAACGCATATATACTTGCATATTAAAATATGTCAAAGAAATTAAGGAAATATATCAAAAGTACACAAATCCAGGTATGAAATACCAGGAGAGTTTTTACATTAAAATCAAAAAATAATTTGTTCTCATAATAGTTTTGAAAAATTTGTGCTTTTTTAGCAAAAATCCTGGCCGCTCAGAGGGTTAAGGCTCTTCAGCAGATCTTTATGCACCAATTAAGTAGATGTTGTGCAGTAGCTTCATGGTTTTTACATTTGGTGAGAGTTTGAAAAGTTTTAGTACCATGGAAATATCTGAGGATTCTTAATGTCCTGAAGTCAACCAAGCCAGAGCCATTTGGTCCTTCCTGTCACCCTTGAAACCAATAGCAGTACCAGGACCTGAACTACAATACTATGATTGTGTCAGTAGTGTTCTCAATTCTTGGAGACCTTGACCTTTCAGACCTTTTCTTTTCTATAGTTCAAGGTAGGTCAAAGGTTTAGCATAAACCTGAAGTAAGGAAGTACTCTCCTTTGCTAGTCCATCGGCTATTTTATTATATTTTAGATTTACACGAGATGATATCCGTTGTAGATGGAGGACAGAAAAATGAGACATGGTTTTCAGAAATTGGTATTTCTATGCTTGAGGGAGATTTCTTCTGCAAAAGCTCCGCTACCAATGTATCCATGTTCATTCTAAATGCTGTCTGTATACATCAGAATTGCCCCAACAGGTATTCTATTAATCATCTCTAGAGTAGCCTGTCTTAAGTATTGAGGATGTTGAGAGGACTTATTCTATTAGTCAATAATTCTGTATAAAAGACGCAATGAGTTTGTAGGGGATGCGATAAGTTTTAAAGAATTAAATTCAACATTAAGACCACAAATACCTCTAGTTTCTTAGCATGGCTGGTTTTTTATTGATGAAAAACCATAATAATGAAAAAATATAAGCAAAAAATTCAGTGTTAGTTTTAGTCTTAAAAATTTTTATTTTGCTTTTTTTGAATGTTCCATAGTGAATTTCAGATTTTTTTACTCTATTTTATTTTTATTTGTATTTCTGACTATGTGCATTGCAATTCACAGGCAATTTTGTGAGTTGGCGAAAAACCTTTGTTTAATTATGTTCATGATTTATGGGTATTCTTCTTTACATAAATAAAAATAATTTAATAAGAAACAAGAAATTTTCAGGTGGTGGAGAACAGGTGGTGAAGAGAGGAAAAAATCTAAATGCTGAATATTTGTATTTTTACAGCTATTGGAGTGATTAAATAGGAAATGTCTAAATTCACATCTATGGTGTGCACATGCATGTGTTGGCTGTTGTTTACTCAAAAATATGTAAATGTGCAGAAGCTCTACTGAATATTGAAACTAAGAGTGTGAATTGTCAGAAAGTACCTCCTCATTATGATTATCATTCCTGATATGTTATAGGTGATGTAGAATTTATAGTTGCCATTGATTTAAATGTTTTTTTAACAAAGGATAAAAATGGATATAGATCCCCCCCCTCCTCTTCTCTGGGGTGTTGTAAACAGGTTGGTATAGTTTTTTTTTTAAGTATTTGAATTGATACATTGGTTTATTTCTTTTCAGATGATTCTTTTGGAGATGTGAAGAATGACTTTAAGAAAAAAAGACCTTCCATTCATTTTATTGACAAGGAAACCCGTTTAACTTGTAATATAGAGATAGATAATGGATTTTCAGTGAAACTTGCAAATCTCCTAGCATTGTATCATGATTTAGATGAAAGAGTTCCAGTACTTGGAACTGCTGTTCGATTTTGGGCTAATGTAAGTTTTATTAGCTATGTTTCAGGTAGTGAAACTAAACTCAAAATGTATTTAAAATTTATGTTTTAATTATGTGCTTACTTTTTTTAATCTGTAATTACATTTATTTTAGTGATTTGAACTCAATAATGGATATTAAAATCACACTTGAAACTACTTCAGTTTATGTAGTTCTTGATTATTAAATCCAGCTAAAACATATAGCATATTATCCTAGCTGGGAAAGTAGTCAAACCTTCTGGGGGGGGGGAAACCCTCATAACTATAATTTTCATTTTTCAATTTGTCATTTATATTTTTCCCCTGTGATTATTTCATATTTTGAATTAGTATCATACCCATATTTTTCTTCCAGTTTCAATTCTCATATTAAATGAGTTGTACTTATTTTGTTTTTAATAAACCATTGGTTTATGGCTTCTTAAATACAAAATATGCACAACTCACATAATATGAGGCACATCCAAAAAGTAAGTTTCCCGATGATTTTCCCTTTAAAGTAAGCGTAATTAGCCGTGTCAATTGCGCATGATCTATGACGTATCAATCATGTTGTCAGCCGGACAGGTCCTGCCTCGTGCCAGTGTTGTAATAGCAGTGGTCCGAAATGGAAGCTCTTATTCCTTCTCCCATCATCTGCGAGGTTTGGTCGGTGATAAAGTTTTTGAATGCACAAAGCATTGTGGCAGTTGAAATTCATCGTCAGCTCTGTCAGGTCTATGGGTTGAATATGATGAGTAAGCAGATGGTGCATCGCTGGTGTAGGCAGTTTTCGGAAGGTCATCAAAGTGTCCAGGATGAAGAGCGCAGTGGGGACCATCCCTCATCAGCGATGATCTTGCTGAGCTTGTGCGGCAGTGCATGATGGAGAACTGTCGCTTCACGATTACGGTGCTGAGCAGCCATTTTCCGTGTATGTTGCAATCCTTGTTGCATGAGATTGTCACTAAGCACCTGCTGTTGAAAAAATTGTGTGCCAGGTGGGAGCCGCAAAACCTGACACCCGAACACAAAATTGAATGCTTAGGAGCAGCACTGACATTTCTGCAATGGTATCACGATGATGGCGACAAGTTCCTTGACAGGATCGTCACAGGCGATGAGACTTGGATTTTGCACTTCACCCCAGAAACCAAGCAGCAGTCAATGCATTGGCAGCATAGTGGATCTCCGGTCAGGACGAAATTCAAACAGATGCTGTCAGTACGAAAAGTGATGTGCACAGTGTTCTGGGAAGAATTCTGCTCATTAAGTCCCTTTCACGTAGTGAAACAGTAAACACTGACCGTTTTTATGAAACACTGTGGAAATTGCGATGTGCCATTCAAAACAAGAGGCGTGGAATGCTTACTGCAGGTGTTGTGCTCCTCCATGACAATGCTCGTCCACATATGACTCGACGCACAGCAGCTGTTGTGATGGAATTTGTCTGGGAGTTGTTTGATCATCCACCCTACAGCCCTGTTCTTGCTCCCAATGATTTTTCACGTTTTCTTGGACCTCAAGAAATTCCTGTCCTCCAGTGAGTGTTTTGGCAATGATGAAGAGCTGAAGACGTCTGTTACACGCTGGTTCCATTCACAGGTGGCAGAGTTCTACAACAGAGGGATACAAAAGTTGATCCCACGATATGACAAGTGTCTCAATTCTGGAGGTGGCTGTGTTGCAAGATAACTGAAACATTGCTGTACTTGTTGTCAATAAATATGTTCCTGAAAGTGCGAGTTTTTTTTTTTTTTTTTTTTTTTTTTTTTTTCCAAATAGGAAAACTTGCTTTCTGGATGCCCTAAGTACAAATTAAGCTATGTGCGATTCTGAAATTTTGTTTCATATTTTCTGTATAATTTGTTTTATCTGAAATAAGTCATATGTTTGAAGAACTTCCCATTGTTTTATTATGAGTATTATGTTTTATAATACTTACAGATGTTTGCCAACTTCAAAATCCAATTTGGATCAGCATTGATTTTTTTAAAAAGTTATATATCTGACATAAGACCCAAAATTGATTTCAGGTGTAGCATTATGAAATAATATTAATTTTACTGTCATCCATCTTAGCATCTCTCTATACAAATAATGTATTAGTGTGCATGAGAATTCATGTCTAGTAAAAGAGATTCGTAGTAGCTGAGGAAAGGCCCGGCGGCGCAGTGGCTAGCGCATCGCACGGCAGCACCACAGGTCCAGAGTTCGATTCCTGGGCTGGGCAAGGTCGACTCAAACTTTCATCCCTTGATTTCCATCACTTGGGTTGACAAAATGAGTACGAAGTTCCTTGGGGACTAAACATTGGGGTCCTGCAACAAGCTGACCACTTGTTCAAGGCATATGCTTACGCACCCCGGGGCCCACAGTCAAGAAGGCAGATTACGGACACTGCAGGCCTTGACCCACTAGATTTGCTACGCCACTGAGTTTTTTTAGTAGTTGGAGCAAAAGTCAGTGCCCAATATTGTACATTGGTCTCTGCTTTATCAAAACAAGAAACAGCTGTTAATATTACAAATTTGAATCCTTACATGTATTTATTGACTAATGAAATGCACCTTTTGGTGGTTTGAGAATAAATGAATAGTAAGCGTTCAGTTGAAAAAAATATGCTGATTTTATAGATGAGTAATGTATAAGTAAATCTAAATGAGGTATATCTATTAGTATCTTCTTTAGAGGGCAGAACAGCTGGAGCTTAAATATTTTTGTTAAATTTAGTTTAATTACATCTGTATAATTTGAAAATTATTAGAAAGATATGATAGCAAGAGGAAGTATAAATGACCTGCAGGTATTTTAGGGAAAGGTGGAATAAATAATTAAAACTATTTCTTGGGGAACTGATTATTATTTTTTTTTTCTTATAAATTTGTGCTTGTGAAAATTTTATAATAAGAACTGCATTTTTTAATTTCATGGATTTATAAAGATGGTTCTTAAAAGTATCATTTAATTTTTCATTGTATTCTATAACAGCTTTATTTATGTGTTACTGAATATTTCTTGCAGTTATGTGAGATTGATCAACAAGACTGTGGAACTCTGCCATCCTTTGCTTTTGAAATATTATTAATTCATTTTTTGCAACAAGTAAATCCACCAGTTCTGCCTGTACTGCATGAGGTAGTGTACCTTTATAATTCAAATTGATTTTTATTGCCCCTTTTCATTCACTTCGGGGGGGGGAATTCTTTTTTCTAATAATAATGTTGTTATAGTTTTTTATAATTTTGTGTTTTTTATGTATCATTTCAATGGAAACAATTTTTTGTATATTTCAAACTAATGATTAACTACTGTAATATTTTTCATAGCTTTTCTGAATTACAGTACAAAGTCTTTAATCCATACTCGTCGGGACTTCGGCAGTTCTGGATTAGGGGTTTTTCTGGATTATAGATCATCAATTTAAATCCGTTAAGATGGCATGCAGAAATTATAAAATTAAAAGTATGAAACTGTAATTTATGAAATAAAGAGCAATTATGATCTAAAGAGTATCAAAATTTACAAAAAAAAATTAATATTTATTTGTTTACTTTATTAAACATTTCTTTTAATGTCAGTTGTTTTTTGTGCTAATACTTTCTCTTTAATTTTTTAAACAGACATAATTTCTTGTTCAGTTCCACTGTTCAAGTCCTGTAATTGCGAATACCAACTAACTTGTCAATCGAAATTTTTTCATTTTCAATAACCTCTCTGTCACTTTCTTCACTATCGAAAGTGGTACATCGAAACATGCTTTCACTTTGTAGATCCTTTGGCAGCTCCAGAATCGAAAATTTTTTTTGACATAATCGAAGGTTCAAGCTTACTTTTTATAAAATTGCTCTAACAGTCTGCAAAAAATAATAAGCTGGATCCAATTAGAAGATTAAGGAACAACACAATATGCAACATTAACTGAATTAGATAATTTTAGCCTAGCTTATACCGTCCGTTACACATTAAACACGGATGCGTAAACGTATTATGCGCATGCGTAAACGATGCATTTACGCATGTGCAGAAAGTTTGTAGCTTTGAGGTCCGGATTATAGATCATTCCAGATTGTGGACGTCCGGATTAAAGACTGTACTGTATTGCATTGGAAGTAAATAGAACCTATTCTTTACATCATTGCAAGTGTGTGGTTTGAAATGATGAAAACATGAATGAATTAAACCAGGAATATTTCATATTGACATATTTTGAAAATACATATGATAAAAAGCTTATAATAAATATCAGTAAACTGTGTTTTTCACTTTCTCTCATATCATAATCTGCATTTAAAAATCAAATTGTTTTTGTTGCCTAGGCCTTCCATCCTCTTCAGTAGTGTGTTCATAAATCTTTAAATATTGTTTAGAAGTTTGTTCATTCACTTTTTTATTATGTTGACTGATTTAATTTAATGTATTGCCTAGATTATTGTTTCTTACTTTTGTTTTTTCCTTTTAATTGTTGGAAATTTTCATCTTTTCTCAGTTTGCTGGAATAAATTATGAATAAAACTGTGTTAATGCATTGTAAAGTTGTGGTCTGTCAATCTTCATAATTCTGATCTTTAAATGTTATTCCTTTGAAGCATTAGTAAAAAAAAAGTTACATTCCATGCTTTTATAAAATGTCAAACTTGAATGTTAAAAAATCAAAATTTGAATATAGCTGAATTTAATTTTTTTCAAAATGTAAAATTTTTTGCTGACTGTTTTTAATTTTTTTTATATTTATAGTAATTAAAATTTTTGTGGTTACTTCTCATTAATCGCAGTTGCATTTTCTTCATAATTTCTTCTCAAATTGGAATAGTTATGGCTTAATTTAATTTTTTCCAAAATATGAAATTCTCACTCACTGTTTTTAATTTTTTTATATTTGTGATAATTAAATTTTTATGGGTACTCTTCTGTTTATCTCAGTGACATTTTCTTTGCAATTTTTTGTGGTGACAATAATGACATCTGTATGATGATTTACATTTATTTTTGTTTTAAATGTTCCTTCCTTCACCACGACTAAACTTGTGTTAACTTGTAACTGTAGAGCGTATCATTTTCATCTGCTACTTTTTCTACTGTCTCTTATGTAGGCGTTCAGTAAGGTGACCAAAAGTGAGTATAATTTAAGGAATTTACTCTGAATGGGTAAATTAGCTGTAGCTGTTTTCCAGGAATGTAGTATTGTTCGAGAGAGAAAACATATTTCAAAATGGTCGCACATTGAAATTCAGTTTTAATAGAAGTATTAACATGAATGCCATTATACATGCATTGAAAAGGAAAATGTTTTCTTCATCTGTTGATGTATTAGAAATGGTGATTTTTTTAAATTACAGTAGTTTTTGCAATGAAGCTTGAATGACAAAGATAGTTTGTTTCTGAATTTGTTTGGGATAGTGCTAATATTTACAAAATCCCTAAACCTTCTGAATTTGTTTGGAATAGTGCTAATATTTACAAAATCCCTAATCCTGAATGTAGTTAAAATTTTTGAATGAAACAGAAAATAGGAGCAAGGAATTCAATGAATAAAGTTCAATTAATGATTCGTTTTTTAAAGAGTTAGAAAGTGATATTTGTAGTGATTTTGATACAGACATTTTTTCAGAGACTGAGCTCACTGAGTGCCTGCCTACCTTCCACTTCCCCACGAAAGATTTTGTTATTTATTTATTTATTTATTTTATTTGTAAATATGTTATTTGTTAATTTGTTATATATATATATATATATATTTTTTTGTTAATTTTAAAGTTTATTAACCCGGCGGAAGTCGAAGTTACTAGAGCGGGCGCATGGGGTACCACATACCCCAATATTTAAAATATGATAAAAATAGTTTTATTTATTTTTAAAGCTGTTTTTCTTGTTCTCGTGTATTATAAATGTGTGAATAATAATTGGGTTTAAAAAAATTACTTTCCAAAATAATCTTAAAATTAAGATAAATGAAAATAATAAAAAAATAAACATCATGCCTCTAAGTTTCATTGCATCTTTAAAATACTCAATGCTTATTTTATTTCTTCACACTTTGAACAAAATACATTCATGTGTTCTTGGCACAGAATGTTCTCACATTTTAAACATTGCATTCACGTTCTTCTGTCCTTGGCGCGATTACAATGAAAGTGAATACCTTACAAATTTATCACATCTTTCATACTTAGTTGTTTCGAATTTCATGTATTCGTTTTAATTTTTCGTTGAAACTTCTGCTTTTGTTTTGCATGTAGTACGTCAGTTTCTTGGTAAAGTATTAATCTCCAATCTTTGTTCAATACTTTTTTTTTCATTAATTGTAATGCTAAGTCCTTCAAAAACAGACTTCTGTTTCTGGTTGGCGGATTAGCAGTTGAATGTAATATAATTCAAGCATTCATTACAGCAACGTTCAGTGCAGGAAAGAAAATTACCATTGGCTATCTCCTTGTTATTCTGGAAATTGAATAATTGGCTGACATTTCATCCCCCATATCCACTGCTCCTTTAGTCATATTAAAGATAAGTTTAAAAACCTAAGTTTAAAAACATATAATACCTGACATTGTATTTTATCATATAGTATCATCTATAGTATGGTCGTTATATAATGTTGAAAGCATAAGAACAGTTTCTCCTTTTTTAGGAACATCAGGAATTAATGTTTTATCTTTTTCGAAACCAAAACAGTGTAGAAAATATTCCTAGTTTCATCTTCAGTTTCCGAAATCAATCTTCATCACTTTCAAATATTTCTAAAAAATCTCACAGGCGTTGCATCTCCAATTCATAGGGAGTCATTCTTTTTACCATAATGCAGTTAGAATTTTTTAAGAATTTAATATCAAGTACTTTAAAATCACTTGCGAGTAGAAATATTTACCGTTACACTCTAGAAATAAATTTCTGAACTAAATATTCAGTCAGAAAAACACTTACGCTGACAGGCGCGTGGGGTGTGTCATACCCCAGTTCCAACAAAATATCGATAAATCTTTTTCTGAAACACACAGGCAAAGAAAAAGCGGTTCTGAAAGTCAACCACAACTAGAAACTCAGCTACTGAATGCAGCACAGAATTTCAGTTTCACAAGTTAGGAATATTCCACTTTTATGTAGAGGTGGGGTACGATACACCCCATGCGCTTTCCCGCGGGTTAATGTATTTTGTCAATTAAAACTTCAGAATAATGTTAATATCACTTCAGGAAAAAGATTAAATCCTAGTTTAAATGTATGTGACAGCCTAAGTAATAACCAAAAATTATATGACATTAGGACCTAAACCTTTTATTTCTAAAGTTAGGCTTTATGCTTAGTGGGACAAAACCCGCATCCTGTAGGACAATTCCTTTTGACTCTCCTCCATCCTGAGCGAACATCTTAAACAAAGGTGCACCATCTCGAAAGTGGATACTTTCAATATGATTGGCAGCTGTTAAGGAATTTTCAAGAATTAATTTGAAATTACCTATGGTTCTTTTCAGATGATATTTAAACAGCTTAACTCCTGCCTCCCAGAGTCCACCAAAATCAGGAGATCTAGAAGACAAAAATTTCCAAGAAATTGACTGCAACCTTAAATAAGCAGTTATTGGGTTGTTCGGAAAGTAATTTCGTTTTTCCCGGAGGACTTAATTACATTTTTTCGAAACTAACTTCACACTTAAGCCGCATAACCATTATATGTCTTGAGAGCTGATATTACAAGGCTTGTGTGTGAAAAAGTTCTATTAATTCTATGCAGTAGTTTTTGGTTGGTGCCCTTTTAAATATGGAGAGCAATAAGCAGCATTTTCGTCATATTTTACTTTTTTACTTCAGAACAGGTAAAAATGCTGTCCAAGCGAGAAAAAAATTGACAGATGTGTATGGAGAAGGCGTGTTAACAGTACGCCAGTGCCAGAACTGATTTGCAAAGTTTCGATCTGGCAATTTTGATGTCGAAGATGCACCACGGTCTGGAAGGCCGGTCGAAGCTGACAAAGATGCAATAAAGGCATTAGTTGATGCAAATCGGCGAATAACCACACGAGAGATCAGTGAGAGGTTAAATTTGTTGAATTCGACTGTTTATGGCCACTTGAAAGGCCTGGGCTTAACCTCGAAACTTGATGTGTGGGTGCCCCATGTTCTTACGGAGCGAAATTTGTGTCGTCGCGTTGACGTGTGTGATTCGCTCCTCAAACGTCAGGAAAATGATCCATTTTTGAAGCGGATTATTACTGGGGACGAAAAATGGGTCGTATACAACAATGTGAAATGCAAGAGGTCATGGAGCAGAAAAGATGAACCGGCTCAAAGCGTTTCAAAAGCCAACATTCACCAAAAAAAGGTAATGCTGTCTGTTTGGTGGGATTTCAAAGGAATCCTTTTTTTTGACCTTTTATCGGACAATACAACTATTAATTCGGTAGTCTATTGTCATCAGCTGGACAAATTGAATGATGCACTTAAACAGAAGAGGCCAGAATTAACCAACAGGAAGGGTGTAGTGTTCCACCAGGATAATGCGAGACCTCATACAAGTTTGGTCACTTGCCAAAAGCTTTTACAGCTTGAATGGGACATACTGCAACACCCCACCATATTCTCCAGATCTGGCGCCTCCCGATTATTATTTATTCCGGTCCCTGCAAAATTTGTTGGATGGTAAAACCTTTACCTCAAATGAAGATGTCAAAAACCACCTGAATCAGTTTTTTGCCAGCAAGGACCAAAACTTTTATGAGCCGGGAATCATGTTACTGCCAGAAAGATGGCAAAAGGTGTTGGACCAGAATGGCCAATATATAATTTAATAAAATATTTATTCATTATACGAAAATTGTCTTTTCATGTTCCCCCAAAAAACGAAATTACTTTCCGAACAACCCAATAGATTTTCATGAGGGCTGGAAGCGAGGTGATACAATTTTAAAATATTGTAGAACAAATGCCATGATGAACAAAAATATGTTTTAAAGTCACGATTAAAAATCCAGATGTTAGATCAGTAAAAATTTCTATGTGTATTGAATGATTGGCAATTTTGTTTAAAATACCTTTATGTTGATTTTTATATTTTATGTAAAATGGGCTGCAAAGGATTTTGTTGGTTTGATTATGGCAAAGCTGTCAAGGACTCTCTGCCCTAAGGGGAGGGATGCCTTTGTGGAGGATTTTCTAAGGGAAATGGGCTCTTATACACTTTACACAAGGATAAAACCACAAAAACACCCGTGCAGCCAGCTTGTTTGCTGGGATTCGAACTCCAGATGCAACTACTTGTGTTCAATGATTTCTTACTCCTTGGCTGCTCACGAAAGTCTACACTTGTGTTTGTAAAAAAGGTATTTACTGTGACTCTTTCCTAAAATGCAAAAATGGCATTAACCAATTTTCTGTTTTAGGTTTTACTTTTAAAGTATTTAATGCATTGATGTGTAATTTTCAGGGCATGATATCTTCCGTTTAGTGGCCAATACTCCTGCCTTACAAGATTAAACAAGGTTTTGAGCTTCAACACGCACAATTTTTAGGTGACAGTAGAGTATCGAGTATAACTGGCACCCAAGGTAAAATACTTTTTTGGCGCCCTCCCCTCTTCTTGGAAAAAACAGTGATATGATGAAAATCTTGTTTGGAGACCATCTGGTATGCCTCTGCGAGCAGCGCCCGGGGCATCATACACCCCCTTGCCTCCCTCGCTACGCCACCGTTACGTGAATGTGGTCCATCACAATATTAGTTTGTTATCTTGAGGAAGTAAAACAGGATGTTTCTGGTTAAATGATAAATCAGAATGAAGTAGTCAATTGCCAATGTGAATGACATCATCATCAAGAAAAAGGTTTAAGTTACTCACATTACTTCCCTTAACATTTTCTTTTAAGCATTTATTTCTCTATGGAATACATTTACCTATATGGCTCTTATTAAATACCTTTTTGCATTCTCAAATTCTTCATTAGTTGTAGAAACATACATCTTTGTGTTGTGTCTTTGGTTATATGCGAGTCTAAAAGTAAAACAAAGAATTTACATAAGTATATGAAAAAGTCACATGTTGTAGGAAGAACTAAGTTGGTAAGTTTTTTTAAGTTCAGTCAAATATACTTCTTTGAAGTCCATTTGTTTAGTACTAGTACTATCTAAAGCGTTTTCAGCAGCAATAGGTGGCTCTGACCACCATAGGTTAAGGTACTTGAGGTCAAAAGGATCAACAGCACAAGATGATAGATTAGCAAGATTTTCTCTGGATAAGATACATTTCTGCTTATAATTTGGAGCAAGAGACTAAGTTTAACCCTTTCTGGCGCAGTGTGTTCGGTGTGAACACACCAAAAATATTCTCTCTTCAGACACCGAAAATAATCGATAAATATCATGAAAACTGCACTAATGGTTACTTTTAATCTCTTTTATGAATAATAGATGGCAGCACCACACAAGCAAATAAGTAACGTATAATATATTCTGTTTTTAAAGTATACTGATTTTTCAAAGAAATGTTTCAGATTTTTTTTAAATATAAAGAATATCAATGAAAAAATCTTTATATAATTTTGTTGTTAGTTTGCTAATCTGCCTAGTCTATATTACTTTTAATTTTTATCTTTGGAATGTTGCGTATAGTGAAGCCTTCAATGTATGGTGTGTTTGGACTGAATGCTGGTGATCACATATTTTTTTTTAAACACAAATTTTAAAGCCTCAGGTAATGCTGACACATGAGGAAATGTGTCAGTAACCAGGACCAGACTATCATCAGTTTATGAGCACTATGGGTTTAATATTTTCTTTACTGTAGTCTTTCATTTTATTTTTTGTAACTTTTTTTTTATTTTGTCTTTTGACAGGTAAAAAGTTATTCCAGTACTGTAGAGTTTTACAAGATATATAAAGAGGTACTCACAATTTATTTCTTCTCTAATTTAGGGTACATTTAAATGGCAATAGCTACATAGTATTTAGTTGATCTAGTAAATATGTATTGTATCATATACTAACAAAGCCCAATATATCTTTTTTGGGGGGGGGGGTCCTGTAATGAGATAAATTTTGTAATATCAGAACATTAAATATGTAAGTAGTAAGAAACGTTTTGGAAATTATATATCAGCTATATCTAGGAACTGTATTCAACAACTTGAAAGTGTAGGTTGTAAACAAATTTTAGAAAAAAATTGCTATTGTTAAAGGAATAGTTACGTAAATTTCTGAATATTTGAATACTGTCGTAGAGACTAAGTAAAACTATAAGTCCTTATGCATAGTTATAATCACTAAAAAAAGCCAGCTAAGTATAATTTAAAAGCACCAAATGATATGCAGTCATATTTTACTATCTATATAGTTAAAATATGATTATCAGTTTTTTAAGATTTTCTTTCCTGTGTATTTATCAAAAAATATTTATTTGTTAATAAACTTAAAACTAAATTCTCACGTATAATGTTTTATAGACATGCTATCAAAAAACAGATTGAGTTGCTATTAGGGAAAATGTTATATTATCAAATGTTTAGATTAATTTAATTATTTAACCCTCTGAGCACCATGACTGAATTTATCAGCTTACGAGATCTTTTGTTATTTGATATATATTAGCTTAACTTATATTTTGATAAGATAAATATATTTTGCTCTCTTACTTGAGCAAAATATATTTATATTTTTATTTATTTATTTTCTCTTCCTGGCTGTCTTTTCATAAGATAAATATATTTTGCTTTTTAATAACGTAAATGTCATCTCAATGAGTGTAAGTTTATGAAAATAGAAACTAAAATAAGTAAACACGTTTAAGTAATAAATGCTGTTTAAATACAGGTTTTCTTGGCAGATCCAAAAACCTCTGTTGCTCAGAGAGTTAAGTAACTTATCAAATAAGCATGTTGTTTATGTTGTTGAATTAAAGCATTTTATCAGAATTCAGATTGGAAACTATTTTTTTCCTAAATCAGTCTGCTTAGACTATAGTAAAAGATTTAAGGAAAATAACATTGTTTATGGGTTCTGTATAAATTATTCAGAGTATTTTAAAAACTTATTTTATGAAATTGTGTGTGTGTGTGTGTGTTTTTAATTTCATTTTTTAACCATCTGTATTTACTCTGTATTTAATTAAAATATTATAGAAGAAAGAATGGGTCAGTGAGAATTCGAGCTCTGTTGGAAAACTATGGATTAATTTTTTTAAGTTTTACAACTTCAGCTATAAGATAGGTGAAGATGTTATCTGTATTCGAAGTCTGAAAAGAGTTTCTTGTGGTGAAAAGAATTGGTCTACCAAGTTTTATGCAATTGAAGGTATGTTTTCAAAATAAATTTGTAAAACTGTATGCAGCACAATAGTTTAAATTGTATTGCTGTATCTTAAGTCCAATCAAATACTGTATATTGTTTTTTATAAAATAATATGAAAGTAATAATCATAACAACAATAAATTTATGAATTTGCGGAAAATAGAATATTTATATTTTATAAATTTTCATGTAAATATATAATATAAAAATACTACTACTGTACTATGTTTATACTTAAAAGCTGAGAGTTTTCATCAAAGTTTTTACTATTGAAGTTTATATGTTAGCTAATATGAGTTTAAAATTAATTACTCATAATTTGACTGCGAAAATTGTTACAAATTAAATTATAAAGTATTTTCTTCCTCCTTTCTGCAAGCCTTCATGGTGTAATGGTAGCACACTCGGCGCATGTTTGAGAAGTCCAAGTTCGAGTCCCGCTGAAAGCATTGCTAATTTTTCATGAAAAATTAGCATGAAAATAACCTAAATGTAATGACTGAGGAGGATTAATAATTACAATAACCTAATGGTTCTACACTGGAACCCATGTTAAAAGGTGATGGATGACGGTTCTTCACCACCAGGATTTGGTGAATGGCTCCCCTAATCCTCAGTCAACCTTTAAAAGGGAGGACTATATAAGGTATATTCTCCCTCCTTTCTTGTACACCTTCGTGGTGTAACGGTAGCTCATTCGGCCCATATTTGAGAGGTCCAGGTTCGAGTTCCAACGATAGCATTGCTGATTTTTCATGTACTCCTTCAAAATAACCTAATGACTGTACAAAATAATTGAAAAAAAAAATTATTTAATCGAGTTTCTCAATATTGGTATTCAGCTTGAAACTTTTTAACGATTCTCAGAGGTGTTAGGACAAACCCATTCGGATGCAGTTTTCTGTTCCCGCAACATCTTGCAGGTGCGGGTTTTCGGTTCGTAACCCGTTCAGGTGTGAAAAGGGCTTTTGAAGTGATATACACTGAAGTGCCACTGAATTAGGGATAGACATGGTTATACAAACTGTGTAGCGCTGTGCCAAATTTATGCTCGCATTAGGGCGTTGTGGTAACAGCATATATATACTGTTACTGTGGTTGTTGTTAATCAGTCATTTCAATTACTGGTATGGGTGAAACTTCTGATTTAGACACCTTCAATAGCAGACAGATCGTGGCGTTTTCAAGAACAGGTTTTACCGCTTTGCATTATGTGGAGAAATTCAGTGAGTTTGCTTACATGTGTTCAGTGTATTAGGCCTTGCTAATACTATTTCTTCCCAATTTTGTCGTGAAATAAAAGAATGGTGGGTGACAGTAAATGGCTTATAACATTCTGATACTGGATCAGATAGCGAATCTGAATTTTCGATGAATTATTCTGGTAGTCCTGAGAGTTGTTTATTGGAATTCTCTAGTGATGATGAGGAAATGGAAAGTTCAGATAATCTAATTTAGGTTCAGAACTTTTCTGAAATGAATACTGGTAATCCTCCTCCATCATGCCATGATGCCTCCATCTGCCGTGATTTCCTTTCACAACGAATTTACTTTTTTCATATTTATCTTCTGTAAAGTGTTCTTTCCTGTTCTGCAATTTTGTCAGAAAAAAATCAACTTTAAGTAAAACTGTCTTAATTTTGTAAGTAAAAATTACCTTAAAATAATAAATGCAGTACTTGTTGCAGTTTTGACTTCATGTAATCCATTAGAATACAAACTTATTTATAAAAAATATGCTTATTTTTGGTCACTAGGCAGGAAAATGAAATACTTAAGTTCAGAGGAAAATCCAGAGAAAGGTTATTGTCCTTCATTTGATCACTAAAATCACTTGTTGTTAATATCATCTTCAGCTCCATCCAAAATATAGCTCTTCAAGCGTGATGATTTTCAATGTAAAATAAGCAGAATATGCAATTTTTTTTTTTTTTTTTTCTAAGTCCAAAGGAGCTTTGTTCCTTAAGGACTATAGTTTTCGTTTTGCAATTTTGCATTGAATCACTATAAATGTCTGTTTCACTTTTCAAACTGTTGCCATCAAATGTTAGAGTCCTGCATTATGTTTGAAGAAATTAAGTAATGAAAAATCTGCATAAATGTATGTATATTTATCGCATTGTGATAAAACAATGGTACATAGAGCCATTGAATTTTGAATGACGTAATCCTCCTATGAATATGGGCATGTGGAAAACCAAATTTGAAATTTGGAATTTGTTTTATTATCGATTTCATATTTTATAAAACTTTAGCGAATTTTTGAGTAACAAACTCAATGATTTAAAAGCGAGCAATGGCAACACTCTATGAAGGGGAAAAAAACTTTTTATCTCCAGCAGACGCAGAAGTGTGTATCGGAAAGATATGCTCATTTTAAAACTATTTTGTGACATTGCTATCGAACTGAATTTTATGGTTTAAGTGCAAAGAACGTGATATTTAATAAATAAAGGTAACACACAAAATGTTAAAAAAACGCCTCTTTGGACGTAATTTAAATTCTGAAACTTTTCAGGTTTTGGGGGGGAAGGCTTTTTTTTTTTTTTTTTTTTTTTTTTTTTTTTTTTTTTTTTTTACTCATGCATTTTTCTCTATAAAGCAGAAATATAGAAATGCATTTTCTTATACAGGTAAGAGCACTTTTGCCAAAAGGCAGTAGTCAGCCTTATGATTTGCTGAGAAAATGCTAATCACAACCTAGAGCCAAAGTAAAATTTGCCAGAGTGTCAAACAAGATGTGCTCATTAAAATTGGAGAATTATGAAAGAAATGCTTTTGGCACTCCAACTGTCTGTTCATATTACAGTATTTTCAATTCTTTTTTGAATGAAAGCTGAACTCAACTTAATTCATCCGATGGGTTTGTGAGCTGCATCAGTAGTTATTCACAGTTTTATTGATATGTGTAGCTGGATTTATAGGTCAGTTGTAAATTCAGCTTTATACAGCAGTTTTCAATTTCTCTTGAATATTTGCAGCCATGTTTGGCCTCTCACCTTATTCATTCATCGTCTTTATTTGGAAATATATGTTATGTATTTTTTAATTTTTATTTTCATTGTTATGAGATAAAGATGTTATTTGTGTTGTTAAATTGAAATGTATTATCCAGACTCAAACTGGAAACTGATATTTTTCTAAATCACTTTTCTAAGATTATAGGAAAGTATTTAAAGAAAGTAACATTGTGTATGCATTGTGTTTAATTTATTCACCATAGTTTAAAATTTAACTTCTTTTTACTTAGAATAATGTCGTTTTTATGACATTAAATTTCCTTTCCTCCCTTAGATCCATTTTTGAAAAGAAATCTGGCTTATGTGATACCTACCTATCAAGTTTGTCACTATATTCATGATTGCTTTTTGAGGACATACCGCTATTTTGCTTACCCACGATTAAAAGATGGCTGTATAAAATTAATAAAGGCCGATTGGTGTAATGCTGCTCTCTTGTCTTCATGTAAGTTTTTAACAAAATATTCACTTAAATATTTTATTTATTTATTTGTGAAATAGTTTTAAAAAACAGTGTTTTTGATAGCAATTTTGGTGAAAAATATTTTAGGGAGAATTAAAAAGAAAACTTATTTGTTTACACAGCTGATTTACAGAACAAACAATTCCTTATTCAGGAATCTAAATTTCTTGAAAATAATCATGAGCAACAATGAGACATGGAAAAAGTGCTAATTTTCAGTCTGGAAAAGCTCAGGATCTCTAAATCCAAGAAAGCTCATCAAGACAGGGTCTCATCATGTTTTTCTATTCTATTAAAACCATTTACACAGGATTTGCTCTTGATATTCTTTACATGAAGTTTTTTAGGTGTCTGTATGCAGAAATAATAGGATTCACCTGTAATACTGACACAAGACATGTACTCATTCTCACTTGATAATAAGTGTACTTACTGTATGTGCAGTTATTTGCTGACTGAATTTTTGGCTTTTCAGTAATTATGCTTTTTTGTCTTCTAAATTCATCAGAGTTATCTTCCTCAATCTGCTTCTTATTATCTTAACTGAAATTGGTGTGAATGAAAAAGAGCATGTTTAAACACACTCAAAAAGGTTTTGATACGCTATAGTGAAGAAAAGGTACCAAGATTTCTTTTAGATGCTGCAGATTTGCTGAAAGAAGTGTTGATGCATATAATGTGAATTTGATGTACACAAAATGTATTTTAAGTAATATGCACTAAACAAGTTCATCTCTTCCCTGGTAGCTATTTTTTTTTCTGAATCAAGCATGGAAATTATGATACAGAGGGTGTAAAAGAATTTAAGAACAGTTTTTTAGATGCAAGAAACACCACAACATTTTAAGGATCATCAGAGGAAAAAATATTTCTTAAAGCATATAGGATTTTTTTTAATACATTAAGAAAATGGATAATAAGAAAATGAATGGCTTTTAGGGTCACAAATTATCTATTTGTCTTGTCCAAAATGGTATGGTAAGGATTTAGTTCGCATTTTCTGATCATCATAACACCTGATGTTGAAAGAAATCTGACATTTTTGCCTTAAGTCCCAAAAAATGTGTGCAAAGTTTTTTTTTTTTTTTTTTTTTTTTTTTTTTTTTTAAGTACTGCACAGCGTAATGCACTTTTCCAAACGTTGGTATAAATGTGGAACATTTATTTTGGTGCAATAGTAGCTCACCAGTAGTTTCCAAGTTCTAGTAACATTTTTACTGTTACATTTTGGAGTTTTATTATTGTAAATAAGAACTTCATAATCCTGAAAGCTGACATAATGTGACACTAATGAGAATAAGAAGCATGTTACAAACATAATGGATTCAAATTAACATAGAAGTAATGGTGAAAAAAGAAAAAAAAAAAAAAAGGTTATACTGTGGGAGAATTACAGGTTCAAAAATAAAATAAAGGTATCAGACAACTGATAGCTATGGTTTCCTGTCAGCATATTTATAGTTATTAAACTCGGGTGTCAACTAAGAAATAGGCAAATCTGAAAGGCTGCCATAACCTTAAGAATATGTATATAAAGTTCTAAAATGACCATTTCCATGTCCGAGCACATTTCACTGCATTAACAACAGCATTTTGAAATTTGTGCAAATTTTTTTTTTTTTTTTTTAATTTTGCCTTTGCAAACTGCAGATATGGGACATTATCTTAATGTACATTTTTATTTTTCCTTGTATTCTATTTTATTCTACAATCCTTTTATGTCTGGATTTTCTTTTTAGTAATGCTTTGTAGATTTTGTTGCACGATTCTAAATTTTGCCATGCCATAAATATATCTTCAGTTTCAGCAAAAAAACCATTGATGAAAGAAGATTCTACAGAGTCAGATATGTCAGAAAATGAAGATCAGTTAGATGTGAGTCAGGACTTAGAAGATCATGATCAAGATATACCTTTTGATGATGTTATAGCAACAGTATCCAAATTGACATTAGATGAATCTGATGTGGAAAAAACAGAAGGGGATTCTGAATTCTTGCCATCTGTTCCATCAGCTGATTTAACAACAGAAGAAGAGACTGAAACTTTTGCTAAAGAGAAAGAGTCAAAGGCAAATGAAAAAGCTGTTGATCAAACAGTTATGTGTTTTTGGGACTTACCAAAGGAAAAATTTAGCAAAGAGTCCTTTGATTATATATTTAAAGCACAATTTTTCAAAGGAGTGAAGGTGATTATCAGTTTAAGTTGAGTTTTGAATTTAATTAAATTTAATTACTGTGAATTTAATATTTTTCCTCTTTTTGATGCAGAGTGTACCTATAGTATGCAGGATGTGTAAATGTCAGGGTCATCAAAAAAAGGTAAGTGCTTTTCATACTTATCACTAATTTGTGTTAGTAATGTTGACATACAGCATATTGAACAGGTGACAAAAATATTTTTTTAAAATTATTTATCGTAATTTTATAAAAGATGCACATGTAAGAGCATGCAGTTATGTAATAATGCATTAGACATTTTGAGCTTCACCTTTTCTCTCTCTAATTTATGATATTATTTCTTTGGATTAAGAGTAATTGTGAAATAATTATAATTCAGATTTGTGATTAGTAAATATTATCACTGTTAAGAGAAAATGTTACAGATAAAACTATCATAAATTGGAACTGTTATTTCTGAGAAAATTCACTTTAATAAATCAGTTAGTACCAAAATCACCATGTTGTCAATCAAAATTCTCAGTAGCAGTTAGGCCTCTTTATTGGCCAAGTGATTAAAATCCCTGAATACTGGGAATTTGATCTCAGGTGAATGGGCTAGTTATATGTTTGGTTTCAGTGGGTTTTTCCATGTGTAACTTGAATATGTGACTGTCCCTGCCGTTCTTTGTGAAAGTATCATTTTCCTTAGACAGATAGCCCTTGTGTGTTTTACCATATTCCAATAACCATAACCCAATAGCAGTTAATTGATCAAAATGCTGTAAAAATTTTTAAATCCATTTAAAACATAATTAAATATTTCAGTATAATATGGAATACTGCATTTCGTTACATATTTTTCCTCATATATTCCCTTCCCCCCAAAGCTTTTTAGTGACGTGTTCTGAAAATTTTGAAAATATTTGTGTAATTTTTCCCTTCCTCAGTGCATTCAAAAAACATGCTTCCCTAAGTTTTAAAATGCAGTTGTCCCTTAGTGATTGTTTTTATCTTAATAACAAGAAAACCTTCACAATCTATGTGCCTTTTTCCCAAATCTTTCCATTCTAACTGTTAAACTCTATGCCAGCATAATGCAAGAACCAGCCAGTCACTTTGAAGTAAACACAAATTGACATTCGGTCTAATTTTGCTGAGTCAGCTGTATATTCATCTTCTCCAATTATGTATGGAGGATTTGAGACCTAAGACGTAGTGGAGACAGCAATAAGAGCATATGAAATTCAAGTTATGGGGAATTCTGTATTTCCTCACATATTTTTCCTCCATATGTATCCCTCCCCTAGCTTTTTAGTGACACATTCTAAAAATTTTGAAAATGTTTCTGCAATTTCCCTCTTCCTCAATGCATTCAGAAAACAAGCTTTCCTAAATTTTAAAATGCAGTTGGCCCTTAGTGATTGTTTTCTTAATAACAACAACAAACCTTCACAATCTATGTGTCCTTTTCCCAAATCTTTCCATTTTAATTGTTAATCTTTATGCCAGCATAATACAAGAACCAGCGAGAGTCACTGTGAAGTAAACACAAATTGATATTCACTCTGTAATTTTGCCAAGTCATCTGTACAGTCATCTACTCTAATTATGTATGGAGGATTTGAGGCCTAAGGAGTAGCAGAGACAACAATAAGAGCATATGAGATTGAAGTTACGGGGAAGTAGAAGTGAAGTTATTTTATTAGATACTGTAATGTTAATATTATTATATAATATTAATATTATATATTATAATAATGTTAATGTATTGGAATGTGTGTATATATATATATATATTAAGAAATAATATTGTGGTAATTAGTTACCTATAGTTTTTTTTTTTGGGGGGGAGGGGGTGAATTATTATTATTTATTATTATATTATTTTTTTTTTTTTTTTGTTATGTTTTTACTGCAACCCCATCCTTTGGAAATTAAATTATTCGTAATTTTTGGATGATAAAATCAGTAAAAAAGAAAAATGGGGGGGGGCGAGAGCAATATGTGGGAAAGTAGGGCATATATATTTCTATGAAACATTCTGTGACTTATTTATTTATTTATTTGAAATTTTATTGTAAGCAAAATCATCTTTTGTTTTTTTAAGGATTGTCCTAATGATCAATTGCCAACTCCTTGTACTTTGCCTGAGATGACTCCTGAATTTTTAGAAAGTGTGAACAAAGCTTTGTTTTATATAAGGGGTAATTTTTTTAAAAAATATTCTGCATTCACCTTGCTTATCATTGATGAAATTAGTTATGCTTAAAATAAGTATTTCAAATATGAAAGTAAATTTTATGTTTTGTAGATTTCACATACTCTTTAATTTGCTTAATAAATTTTCTCTTGTTTTTATTTCTTTCCGACATTTGTTTGATTATGGATGTACCTTTGTAACTAAAACATTGTAATATACTAGCATTTCAAATTCAAATTAGAATGCTTTTATTTATTTATATATGTTACTGCATATTGTATAGCAGGTCATAATTCAGAAATAAATTAGTGATATTCTTGAAATAATTTTAAAATTATGTAATTAATACAGTACAAAGTCTTTAATCCGGACTCATCGGGACCTTGACGATTCCTTATTAGGTTTTTTTCCGGATTATAGATCATCAATTTAAATCTGGTAAGATGGCATGCAGAAATTATAAAATTAAAAATATGAAACCATAATTTATGAAATAAAGAGCAATTATGATCTAAAGGGTATCAAAATTTATAAAAAAAAGCTTAATATTTATTTGTTTACTTTATTACACATTTCTTTCAATGTAAGTTGTTTAAGTTGCTTCGTTTTTTGTGCTAATACTTTGCCTTTAATTCTATAAACAGACATAATTTCTTGTTTGGTTCCACTGTTCAAGTCCTGTAATTGCTGTGTCGAGAATACTGACTAACTTGTCAATCGGAATTTTTTCGTTTTCAATAACCTCTCTGTCACTTTCTTCACTATTGGAAGCGGTACATCGAAACATGCTTTCGCTTTGTACATCCTTTGGCAGCTTCAGAATCGGAAACTCTTTTTGACATAATCGAAAGTTCAAGCTTACTTTTTTATAAAATTGCTCTAACAATCTGCAAAAAATAATAAGCCGGATCCAATTAGAAGATTAGAGAGCAACGCAATCTGCAACATTAACTGAACTAGATAATTAGATAATTTTAGCCTAGCTTATACCGTCCGTTATACATTAAACATGCCATGCGTAAACGCTATGCAAGCGCAGAAAGTTTGTAGCTTTGAGATCCGGATTATTAATCATTCTGGAGTATGGACATCTGAATTAAAGACTTTGTACTGTATTCTTTTTTAAAGTTATATGAACAATGCAAACAATCAGGATATGTATTAACTCAGATAAAGTGATTGGTTGTAGCTTTATTTCCGTATCTAAAATAAAAATCATTAAACCTTTGATATTAATTAGCTAAAATTACTTACTTGTCTTTTTCTTTCCAAGGTCATTGGGTTGTAATTTAGTATATTTTTGCCTTCCTAAAACTAAGTAGGACTCTTAATCATATGGAAATGATGAGTCATGGGAAAGTTTTTAGCTTTTAGCTTAAAGTATATTTCAGGTAAAATATTTACATAGATTTGCATGACTTGCAGTTTAATCATATGCAAAATATTCAATGCATTCTGCCAACATGTCTTTTTTTCTAAAAGTTCTAGCAATACTGAAACCAGTCCTGTAATTCCTAAAAGTATTCCTAAAGGTAGAGGTGCCCACAGTTTTCAGGATGCAGGATAAGATGTGTTTCTTAATTTCTTTTCTTCAGATTTTAATTATGCAACATGAGTTATTTTATAAATTCATATATTATTTAACTTTTTTAAATTAGAGTAAATAAAAAATAGTAAACCAGTAGAGCACCAACAAATCAATCTATCTACCCATATATGTGAACAAATATTTTCTGTAAAAATATAGTTCTATTAATTTTTATCATGAATCTTGGTAAAAATATTTTACAATTTAGCATCACCAGTGATCATTTGCAAGCAAACATGAGAATTTGTGTACAAAATTAACATTTAAAATAAATAAATAAAACAAAGGTATGTAAAACACTCATTAAACTGCAGGTTGTGGGAAATTTATTTCTTTTTGCTAGAATTCAAACAAAACTAACACTTAAAATAAAAATAAATAAATAAATAAATAAATAAAGAGAAGAAGAAGAAGGGAGGAAAAAAAAAAGCTGTAAAACTGTGGAGACATTAGGAGTTTTTTATGCTGAGAGACATGAAAAATGTGCTTTGCCTTCGCCGGGACTCAAACTCAAACCTCTCGAATGCTCACCAAGCGTGCTGACCATTACACTATGAAGGCATGAGAAATGCATTATATACTCCCCTTTTTTAAGGGCGACTAGGAATTAGGAAACCCATTGACTAAATCCTGGTGGTGGATGATCCTGGTGGTGGAGGAATATCATCCACCACCTTTTCACCTTTTTTAGTTTGGGCGCCACTATGGAGACATTAGGTCATTTCGAAGCAGGAGACATGAATAATGTGCAATGCCCTCGCCGGGACTCGAACCTCGGACCTCTCGAATACACGCCGAGCGTGCTGACCATTACACCACAAAGGCATGCTAAGAGGGTGAGAGAAATAAATACCTTATAAAACAGAACATTCATCTCATTAAATTGTTGGTTGTAATTTTTTAAAAAAATTTTTATGTTAGAACTTTGTTTCATAATGACAATTTATAATAAAAAAAAATATTATTTTATTTGTAGCCCCTTTTTTCCCTCCTTTTCAATGTGGCCCTTTGGCCAAAAAATTTTCCCAGGTTTAACAATATATTAAAAATATAAATTTTAATAATATGATTTGATGCAATAGAAATTACAATATTTTGTTACAATAACTGTTACATGTTTAACACTTCTGAGTTGTAGATGGTTGTAGTCTAATATAATGTGACAACTTCGATAAATATTTTCTCACTTCGTGATTTTGCAGTTTATTGATGGGCGTTTTTAGTATTATGTAATTCCGAATTATTAGAAAGCACAAAATATCTTCATATAAGAATTATTCCTTTTATATATTACTTAAATGTAAACATTAATAATATTTTACAGATAAACATGCTGTGACAGATACCGATATGAAAGGCATGACGTCAGACATGGAAGAGATCCAGCATTATATCAGAGAAGTTTTCCCTGGTAACTTTTAATGTTGATGTTTCAGTTTGAATAAATTTCAGATTTTACAAGTTACTGAAATATTTTATTTTCACTTCAGAATCTTTTTATTGTTCTTTCATTGGGTAAATATAAATTAATATCTGTTTTCCAAAGAAAAATTAATGGGGAAAGTTTTTTTTTTTTTTTTTTAATTCATTTTTAAAGGGGAAAAAACTGAAAGAATGAATTGAAACTAGAAAATGTATTTCTTTTTAATTTTAAAGTACTGTAAAGTACAGTAGTATATAATCATGGAGTGGCTAGATTTGAAATTAAAATTAGCAAAATGAATTAGTGAAGGGATTGACATTATGTAAAAATGGTCATATCAATAATTTCACTTCTGTCCCGTATGTTGTTATGTTAATCTGTTTCTGTAAATTCTATTAATGACCCAAAACCATTTTTATATGAGTGCATCATTAATTTTGTATTGGGTCACATATGATCAAATATTATGATAGCTAAAAGTATTTTTTTTTAAATGACAGTTCATCTTACTAAAATTTTGTAATTATGTATATATATATATATATATTGTGCAATTTACCTTTTATCCCTTCAAATAAATAAAAGAGCACAAAATAAAGAAAGAAAATCTCTGCCTACAGATGTAGGAAAATTATTCCTTTATATCAGTGTATCGGTGAAGTATGCATATCATCATCTTTTCTTTTCAAGTTCTGATTAATTTGATGGCACATGATTACATTCATTTAAATTTCTGTTTGATTTAGAAACCTGATCTTATCACTTAAAATCATGGGAATGTTATAAATAAAAGATTAGATAGCCATCATTGAAATTTAAAAATACATTATTGTTAGCATACAGATACATTATTATGACATACACAGATGCATCATAAATTATTATTAGATTAAAACAATGGAATGATATCTGAAAAAAAATATCATTTGGAAGATTATTTTCTGTTCTGCTTAATAGTACAAAGATTAAAATTCTGCAGTATTTTGATTGCTAACAAAAGATATAAGGAAAAAATTCATTAAGTCAGAAAAAACACTTATATTGAATTTTGAGATAAAAACCTGTGCTGTATTGGACTAATCATATATATGCAAATCAGATATTTGATATTATTTTAGTAATAAGTACTGTAAATATAATACAAAATGTTGCAATATTAATTATTAATTAATATGAAGAGAGAAAAAATATACGAGGTGTATTCGGAAACTAAGTACCGTTTTGAAAAAAATATAGTAAAACAATTTTTTCGAATCCAATTTTATTTTTACATGAAAATACGTCTTAAACTATTTTTCAGCATAGTTTCCGCCAATGATCAAAAACACTTGTCATAGCGGGTGACCAGTTTTTGTATACCATCGTCAAAGAAACTTCCCGCCTGTTTCGATAACCACAACTCCACAGCATTTTTTGTGTCATCATCAGATCCAAAGCGCTTGCCACCAAGCTCGTGCTTTATGTGCAGGAACAAGTGATAGTCAGACGATGCCAAGTCCGGGTGATCGAACTGCTCCCATTGAAACTGTCGAATTAACGATTGAGTGACACCAGCAGTACGGGGCCGAGCATTGTCGTGGAGCAACACAATTCCTTTACTGAGCATTCCTCTTCATTTGTTTTGAATGGCATGCCTTAGTTTTGTTAAAGTCTCACAATATCGTGCCGCATTAATTGTTTCACCTCTGGGAAGAAATTCAGTAAGCAAAACGCCTTCCTATCACAGAAGACAGTGCACATGATTTTTTGTGATAACATTGTCACTTTGAACTTTTGTTTCTTCAGAGAATGAGTGTGTCTCCACTCCATCGATTGTTGTTTCGATTCTGATGTGAAATGACACACCCAAGTTTGATCACCTATGACAATTTGGTTTAAAAAGTTTTCTCCCTCATCACTGTACCGCGTGAGAAATGTCAGGGCACTACCAAGTCACTTTGTTTTGTGAACATCGCTGAGCATTTTTGGAACCCATCGGGAACACAGTTTGCGATAATTCAAGCAGTCAGACACAATTTCGAACAAAACAGTATGGGAAATTTGTGCAAATGCCTCTGAAAGAGTTGTCGTTGTGAAGCGTCTGTTCTCATGAATTGCTTCATCAACTTTCCTTACCAAATCATCGGTGACAACAGAAGGCCCGACCACTCTGAGCCTCAGCGTGGACATATGTTCGACCTGCATTAAACATTTTTACCCACTTCCTCACCATTCCATCACTTATCGCGTATTCACCGTAAACTTCTGTCACTTGACGATAAATTTCAGCCGGTTTAACATTCCTCACATTCAAATATTAATCACGGCACGAATCTCACAGTCAGCGGGAGAACTAATTATCTTAAACATTTTGAATGTGCACAGCAAACTGAAAACACAACATAGAGCAACCAAAATGGCTGTTGGAAAATATAGCTTATTGTAAACCTTTTACTGCATCATCTCTCCTCCTTGAAATGTTTATTTAGTTTAGTTCTTATTTTAATGTAATATAGTAGTTACTTCTACTTCTTTTTCTTACTGCCATTGTTTGGGTTGAGAACGAACTGTTTCAACCTAATTAAGATGCAAAAACGAAAGTGATGTTATGTCATCTGGAAAGTCGATTCGTGCCGATAGCTGATTGGTTGCCGTGAGATGACGTCATGCCTACTACTGCTATAAGTATCTCGCATCGCTCTGGCTCACCCTTTCTAGTTCTTCTTCTAGTTCCTGCTTTCCTGGCACTTGAGTGAGCGGTTTCCAGCCCCTTCAGAAGGATGCATGCAGTCCGGTGAATGAAGTGCCTTGGTTCCGGTTTGCGGGATGGCTGTTCCTGAATAAAGTTCCTTGATGCCTGTCCGTGGGATGGTTGTTCCGGAATGGGGTTCCTTGGTTCATGTCCACAAGATTATTGTTCCGGAGTAAATTCCTTGGTTCCAGAGGCTACCATGTGAGTGACTGCCGTGGACGGCATCCATGTTCTTCAATAAAGGCGGCAATTAAAATACGTGAGCGGCGATTCCTTGTGCAAACGGAGTTAGGCCGGTTTTAAGTGTTTTCAAGAACTTGATTGTTTTAAGTGTTTTCAAGAACTTGATTTAAATTTCGGGTGTTTTTCTTGACCATTGATTATGGACTTATTGAATGTGTAGCCAGCTTCATTTTTAGGCCGCTTAATTACTGTTTAGGACATTTTGTTTGTATAGAATGCCAGTGTTTTGGAGACCAGGTAAAAATATTATTTGATGAATGATGGTTATATTATATTTTTCCTAAGTCTCTGATATTGTTGAAATTTATTTTCTGTGCTTTTATTCTTTATTATATTGTTAATAAATTGGTTAAGTTCGAAATCTTTTATTGTCTTCAATGTCTGCACAACATGATATCTCAGGGAGCTTTTATTGCTACTACTGCTAAATGTTTAATTTCTTTGAACTTTAAACTTTGCTTTAGCATCAATGGCGACAATTGAGAGTCAGTGAACAAGAAAGACTAGTGCGCATGCGCAGGACGCCTACCACAGCGCTGTGATGGCGCTAGAATGAAACGGTACTTAGTTTCCGAATACGCTACGTAGAATAATATCAACCAGATGTGAAAAATTTTCTTACAAGAAGTACTTACTTTTCTTACTTTACATTTGTTGAAAATATAAACTTCTTTATATATATGAGGATAATTTAAAGAAAATTAGTTCTATCAAAGAAAGTCAAAAATTAGTTTGAAGATTTTATAACAATAAAGAATGTTACATTATGCTATGTATAAAAAGCTCCTTTCTAAAATGCACTGTATTTTGTTTATTATGTATCCTGGTGATTTAAAAGAAAAAATAAGGGGGGGGGGACACTAAACCTGAATATACTGATTGAAAATGCCCATCTTTGACATTGATACTAGTATAACATGAAATAAAAATTTTAATATTATTTTGAAAACTAATCACTGTTTCTACTGTAATTTCTTCCAAATATATTTTTGTTGTAATTTCTGTAGGGTAAAATGGCAAAACTATAGCATGCCAATTGTGTAGCTGTTAATATCTTCCAAATATATTTTCGTTGTAATTTCTGTAGGGTAAAATGGCAAAACTATAGCACGCCAATTGTGTATCTAATTGTTCTTTATTCAAATTTAAATCATTTCAGTTTTTAGGATTCTGTCTGATACACATACTAATTAGGAAGTAAAAAAATGCGGTCAATAAAAAGGTTTGAACATTAAACAAATCATCTTTTATAAGAATAAAGTATTGAGAAAAATAAACTATTAAAAAAAAAGCAGGTAGTGTGCTAAATTTCATTGCAAATTGTTTTAAATGCCAGCAAGAAGATTTTCTGAAGATACTAAAGAAAAATTCATGTTAGAAAAAAGGCTACTAAATGGAATTCTTTAAGGTAAAATATATACATTAAATTAAAGAACTGCACATCAAATTTCATTATAAATAAACGCCGCAACGTGCAATGAATTTGGAAGTTTATCTGTCAGCACTATCCTTATCTTCAGGGCAGATGTTTTTATTTTATTTGGCTTATAATTCCTTATTAAATGTAGTATTTCATCTCGATGTACTCTGCATTTGATATGATTTAAATCAAATTCCTCGTCATTATAATTCGCTTCCGATAGTGAAGAAAGTGACACAGAGGTTATTAAAAACGAAAAAATTTCGATTGACAAATTAGTCGGTATTCTCGACACAGCAATTATAGAACTTGAACAGTGGAACTTTGTAACTGAACAAGAAATTATGTCTGTTTATAGAATTAAAGAGAAAGTATTATCACTTAAAATGAAGCAACTTAAACAACTTACATTGAAAGAAATGTTTAATAAAGTAAACAAATAAATATTAAGCTTTTTTTTTTTTTTTTGTAAATTTTGATACCCTTTAGATCATAATTGTTCTTTATTTCATAAATTACGGTTTCATATTTTTAATTTTATAATTTCTGCATGCCATCTTACCAGATTTAAACTGATGATCTATAATCCGGAATTGCCGAAGTCCTGACGAGTCCGGATTAATGACTTTTGACTGTATAAAATTAAAAATATGAAACCGTAATTTATGAAATAAAGAACAATTATGATCTAAAGGGTATAAAAATTTACAAAAAAAGCTTAATATTTATTTGTTTACTTTATTAAACATTTCTTTCAACGCGCGCATGGGTAAAGCACACATTATGCATAGTCGAAATTAGAAAATTGCAACCAGAAAACTATTTGATGTGTATTCGTGATATTTATAATGACGAGGAATTTGATTTAAATCGTATCGGAGTTCACCGAGATGAAACACTACATTTAGTAAGGAATTATAAACAAAATAAAATAAAAACATCTGTGCTGAAGATGAGGATAGTGCTGACAGATCAACTTCCAGTTCATTGCGCGCCGCGACGTTCCCCCTCCCTCACAGAGCAGCGTGAAATTGATAAACAGATTTTGGAATGGTTAAAGAAACAAAGGATATGCCTTTATCCATTTTTTGCAGCAATTCCAGTTTTTGTTTGATGGGCATCGAAACATGCTTTCGCTTTGTAGATCCTTTGGCAGCTCCAGAATCGGAAATTCTTTTTGACATAATCGAAAGTTCAAGCTTACTTTTATAAAATTGCTCTAACAGTCTGCAAAAAATAATAAGTTGGATCCAATTAGAAGATTGAGGAACAACACAATCTGCATTATTAACTGAAATAGATAATTTTAGCTTAGCTTATACCGTCCGTTATGCATTAAACGCACATACATAAACGTATTACGCATATGCGTTTATGCATTATGCGTTGAGGCATGCACAGAAAGTTAGTAGCTTTGAGGTCTGGATTATGGGCGTCCGGATTAATGACTTTTGACTGTAGTGTGATTTTTCCAAAAATTGGCACTTTGGCATAATTTGAGCTGTAGAATCGGGATGTGGAAAAAATCCATATCTTATTTCAAGAAAGTCTAATTTTATGTCACAATACCCTATGTTAAAATAACACTATATGTATCCTAAGTTGCGCATTCGAGATATAAAAATGCATGTTAATTTTTGTCAATTCGTTCGTTAGAACTGGAGATATAGAACTGCCCCCCTTTTTTCACATATTATACCATTTTTCAATTTAATATGCAATTAATAAAGCCTTCAAACTATGTTAAATAGGTACTGAATATATATTTTGGATTTTTTAAGCTCCATATCACTTTGTGTCTTAATATAATCTTTATTTTTATTTTTGCAATTTCTTTCATACTGTTATGTAAATAAAATAAAAAAAAAAAAAGTTTGACAGTTTTTTAGATTTGGGCTTATTCATCTCTGGGCTGTATAACATACACTTGTAGACAAACTCTCAGTTTTATTATTATAGATATATTTTTATTAATGATGATCGATAATAGTTGAAGATTTTGTAATGTTTTGTTTCATTATTTTTTCTTGTCTCTTTTTTGCAACCTTTTGCTATTATTGTAATTACTATAATTATTACTATGTAAAAGTGAATTAACATTTATCTGCAGATGCATCTTTAAGTTTATTTGGGTCTTTCTGCAATGGCTTTGGATTTAAAACCAAAAGTGACATGGATTGTTGTCTCACATTTGGAGCTAGAGAGGACAGTAAAGTTAGTATCACATTGAAATCTGCCATATATTATTTATGAAATGGAATTTTTTCCATTATGGGTACACTATGTGCCAATCTTTTTACTGTAAAAAAGTATATGCAACAATTTGGTACTAATGTTGTCCTTTAGTTGATGTTTATTTGTGTAAATTCACATGGGGACACCAAATAAAGCAAAAAATCCATTTGACCAGATCTTAAGCAACATTGTTGCCTGTTAGCTGCTTTTAACTTAAATATAGTATTTTTATAACAATATTCTTGTTTTAAGCTCATTATTATCAATTAAGATTTTTAAAGTGGTTCATTCTATTGAAAATCTGTATTGGAATTATGTTAGAGACAGATTCTATATGTTTTGAAAAATTGTAACTCTCCATTATAATAATATTTCATTGCAAATCTTTTGTTCATTAACTAAATGTAATTAACATAAACATTTTTTTTATAAATATATATAATTTTTAAAAAAAATTAGATTTTATATCTAAAATCTAAGTGAACTGTTTGTACTAAGTAAATTATTCTAAGATTTGTTAGCTTCTATGTTATCTGCTTTTGTTGATTTTTAAATATGAGTATTTGTTGGTGTAACTGGCAGCCAAAGTGCCAAGGAAAAAATGTTGCTAAGTTTAGGCAGCTTTAAAAAACTCTTTTAAATAATGAAATTTTCATAGAAATGTATTAAAAAGAGAAAGAGAAAACTTACTTTAACACATTTCCAAAACTTTATATTCCTACGTGGGGAAATAAAAGTATTTTACAGGCAGCCATAAATCAGTAGTACTAAGTAAGAGGGCATCAAGTATATTATTTTGGCCTTTAATATTTGCCATCATGTGAACTCTGCCAAATACAACTTGGGGACTGTATGAATCTGATAATGACATACGACTGTTGATTGCTTATGTGAATTTTTTTTTTTTTTTGGTGGATTTTTACACTATAATATAAGCACACAGTAATATATAATAATATATTTAATGCCATCTTAACTTTGCTAATTTATGACCACCTGAAAAATAAGTGGTAACTTTTTATGTAGAGGACAAAATACTTCTTTCTTAGAATTCAAGAATTTCATTTTCAGTTGATGGTAAATTGAAAATTGCTATAATTTTGAATGAGAGAATTCTTATGGGGGGGGGGAAACTATAAATTCTTTTATTTATTTTGGATTTGGTTTTTAGTTCACGAGGATGCATGTATGCTTTATTAGCATGACAACACATGAAGTGGAAAAAAATTCTCAAAATGCTCTTGTACAAATTACTATTATGAAAGAATAGAATGGGGGGGGGACTCTTTTTTTTTTTTTTTTTATCATTTGGCAATAAATACTACCAAATTTGGCAATTGATTGCAGCTTAATAGTTAAAACTGACAAGTATAAAAGTATCTAATATTAATTATTCTTCTTATGACTACTAATCCATATTTTTCTTACTTGTGATATTGCCAAGTTGAAGGACTGAACTCACCTATTGTACAATTCAAGTATACAAGGTGTTCGAATCAAATGTACCTCTTTTGAAGACTTGATTAAAAACAAAGTTTTAGTTCTTTGAGAGCAATATTGGCCATATGTAGGAGCTGAATTTGTAGAATATGGTAACAATATTTTTTCTCGGGTCTGACGCACCTGCGCTTTTGCTGAGCTAACAAACATAAAAATGGCATCACTGCAAGGGAAGGCACAAATTGTTCTCTGCTATGCAGAATACAAATCCATAGTAAAAGGGCAAAGAATGTTTAAAACTGTTTATAAAAGAAATCCACTCCAGGCTAAGAGCATAAAAAGTGGCATAAAACGTTTTATCGAACCGGGAAGTAAGTGTACAGAAAAAATCTGGAGGTGATCAGCATTAACATTCTGATTCACGTGCGAAAGATGTTCGACAAACTTTCGTATGTAGCCCTCGTCAGTCGATCAGACAGGCAACTTCTGAATTATCTATGCCACGATCAACTCTTCATGATGCAGTGCCGCCCTAACCACAGGGCTAAATGGGCTATAGCCCCAGGGCGCAAGCCTTTTGAGGCGGCAATTTTTTATTTGCGATATAGTAAAAATTTATTTTTTATTTTATTAGTTTTTACTTATTTTTAAATTAAAACACTTCTTAAAATATTAAACTGATTTTTATTTCTTCCAAATATGCTGAAAAACGATAGATAGAGAAGGGCAACGCGAAATAGGAGTAACACCCTAACCGATCGTACTTTTGTTTCAGTCGCATTTGAACTGTCGGAGCTGTACTGGAGTTAATATAAGACCACCTACGTATACTCACTGCGTCGCCAGGGCATATTCATTTATCTAAACGTAAATTGTATTATTTTAACAATCCTGATAAAAGATAGGAACATAAAGGGGTCACTGATGCATACCTTAATATAGATTGCACGACAAAAGTAAAATTGATATAATTTTAGTATTTGTTGACTGAATAAGGTGAATTAAAAATTGAAAATTAAGTGGAAATTATTAAATTATATTATTATATTCCTAAGGTAAGTGCTTTTCCTTTTACATACACTAGTGGACAAAAAAAACGCATAATAAAAAAAATGGCATTTAGCAAGATAATATTTATTAATTTTAAAAGGTTAAAAAATAAATTGGTTTTTTTTTCTCATTTTATATTTAAAAATATATTTACTTTAAGGTATAAAGAAATTAGGTAGTATATTGAACGGTTTATAAAAATGAAAGTGGACAAAAAAAATGCATATTGAAAAAAATAGCCTTTTCCCGCCAAAAAACATTAAAAAAATTCTATGATTCAGTGCATCCATGTCAAAGCAATTATCAATTGAAGATAAGGCTCAAATTGTAGCTTTCCACGAGTCTGGAATGAGCCAAATGGAGTTAGCAAAAAAATACTCCGTAAATCAATCAACAATTTCCAGAATTGTTAAAAAATATATTATAAGAGGGTCTTCATCTCGAAAACCGGGATCTGCTTATATGCTTATATGCTTCTTTAGAAAAATTTGTACAATCGAAATGAAATATAGATTTGTTTAACCTTTACAAATCAGAAGGTATAAAATTATCTGGCTGTTATGAATACAAACGGTTACGGAAAAGAAAAAGACAGTTCGACGAAAATACGTCGGAAGAAGTGCAACTTGATGCAAATGACGAATTCCGCATAAAAACATATTATGCTATTATTGATAAAATTCTAGCAGAAGTACAAAAGAGAAAATGTGCATATGTTGACATTTATTCAATATTTGGGTTTCTAGTTAATTTAAAAAATATAAATGAAGACATAATTAGAAATAATGCTGCAAAGTTGTGCGAAATATATCAGAATGATTTAGAAAAAAACAGCTTTATTGAAAAAATGCCTACATTTTAAAAACATGTGAATTTATTGGAAAATACCGAAAATATATCTATCGCAGAACTAAGTTTAAAGACAATAATCGAGTTAAAAAATTGAATCTACATTTCCAAACGTAACCACAGCACTGCGCATATTTTTAAGTATCGCCACAACAAACTGCAGTGGCGAAAGATCATTTTCAGCAATCAAAAGAATAAAAAATTACGATCTTCTTTGGGACAGAGTAAACTCAATGATTTAAGTATTTTGTCTATTGAAAGAGATTTATTTGAAAATTTAAATACTAGTGATATTATTGATCAGTTTGCCAAAGAAAAAGCTAGGAAAGTAAATATATAAGTTACATTTGTTTAGATTAAGGTGTGTTTTTGTTCTTAAATGGTTTTTTATTTAATTAAATTTTATTTTTGTTTATGTTATGCACTGATGGAGAATCATATAATAGTTCCGATAAAGTTCTAAGGATTAGACTAAAAACTGATCGGAACTGTCATTATTGAGATAATCCCCTCAAATCTGGGTAAACATTTATACCCATCTTTTAAACAAGTGACTTTAAAGAAAAGTTACAATAAAGATAACAGTTTATTATAAAAGTAATAAATAGTTTTTTTCTAGTTCTGACACTTTTGTTTTGCATAACTTTTCCGACTCCCATTTGCCATTCTGTGTATTTTCTTAGGAAGAAGGGCACATTATTTTTAGTAGCCCATGGGCGCCGAATTCCTTAAGACGGCCCTGTCATGATGTGCTGCATCGAAAACTGAGGATGCATGCATATAAAATGCAGATTGTGCAGAAACTGCAACCAAATGGTGGGCTGCAGCATTTGCTGTGGAAATGTTATCTCGCATTGAAAATGAGCACAATTTTCTAAACTGCATCTTTTTTTCATATGAAACTACATTTCATGTTAGCAACAACGTTAATAAGCACATCAGAATTTGTGGCTCAAAAGTCCCCATTCACTACACGAATTGGAATGAAGCAGCCCAAAAATCAATGTGCACATGATACAGTCGTAGGACCATTTTTCTTTGCTGTGACCGCAAACAATTACCTACACATGTTACAAATTTACGCAGTACCCCAAATGTAGCATTTACAATCCACTGTTATCTTCCAACAAGATGGGGCCTCCTCCTCTCTGGGGCAAACATATTTGTACATTTTTAGATACAACTTTCCCTAACAGATGGATAGGACGCTGTAGCCCAATTGTCTGGCCACCAAGATCTCCCATCGTGACTTCTCTCAATATCTCCTTTTGGAGCTACATGAAAGACAAAGAGTACTCAGAGAACATCTGTGATAATGAAGGCCTTCATACCTCCGTAACCGCGGTTACTGGTACTGTGACTCCAGAAATGCTAGACCAGACGTAGCTGGAACTGAGCTACCAGCTGGACATTCTCAGGGCTACTAAGAGAGCTCATGCTCATGTACTGATTGTTTAATGAAAACTTTGTGAGTATTGGTATCTAATTTTACAGTTTTCTTATGCTTTTAAACTTTCTGTTAAGTAGAGCGACCTCTCCAAATTAGGTACATTTGATTCGGACAACCTGTACATTTATCAAGCTCTAAAAATATATGTTAGATCTATTGTAACTTTTTTGCTTGCTGTGAGAGATTATGATATTGTTTCCTTGGTATGTTAATTTCGGAAATTTTGATACTCTCACATTTTCTCACGAGGTTTCCTGTTACTGGTGACTAATTCATTGCCATTCTAACAGATGAAAAAAAGTGGCAACTTTAAAAAATGGTGATGTGCTGAAAATTACACAAATACATAAAACAGCAGTGAATTAACAAAATTAAAAATGCAAGAAACGTCTATAATAAAATGCTGATAATTGCATGAAACATTCAAAATTATATAAAACTGCAATAAATTAGCTAAATTAAAAACATTCATAATAAAATGTTTTCTTTCCCCCAGTATGCAGTAATCAGTTTTAACTTAAAAGAAAAATCAAAGAATTGCAGAATACTTGACATTGCAGAACAAATTGGCACTGCTTGCTATGTATACATTGACCCATTTTAACTTGCCATGTATACATTAACCCATTCCTGTACTCTGTACTGCTAGGCAAAATGCCATATTACTGAAAAAATGCAGCACTTTCACTGTGATTCATTACAAGAAAAGAAATATCTACATAGTAATCACAATAAGCAGAAAGCAAAAGCATAAGCCTCAAATTTCAAAACTGCATGCAAATTGCATTACCACCACCAAGATAGATGGTGACATTACATACTGGCGCAGTCATTAGTGGATTGCCAGATAAATACATGTTCATAAAATTACTGGGTTGCATACTTTGCCATCATAGTGCTTTGCATGATTGTCTTGTCAAGGTTGGTCAGGTAATCCAATAGTATTGAAATTTCTAAACAAATAAAAGTGGTAGATGTGAGGTTCATTTTTACATTCTACATTTTACATCTAGAAGCCAGCATATAGGTGTAAAAACTCATCATTGGCTTTTATGACCAATGATTAGTTTTTTTTATATCATCTACTTTTTTTTACTTAAAATTGAAACAACTGCATATTTGGCGTGGACTTTAAATATTTCTTGGATTAAAAAAAAGTAAAGAATACTTTTTGAAAATTATATAAAGATGAGTTTATATATTTAAGTTTATTAATTGTTATTTGCTAGTTAAAACTCTGTTGAAGAATTTGTATTAAAATTTAGCTTTTGTATATAAATAGTCTTTGTTTTCAGTGAAACTATTGAAAATTTTTGTGAGTTTTAGAAAATATTTAATGTTGAAAAGTGCAGTAGTTTTGTGTAAAAGTTTTCCAGTATTTTACCTGTTGCTTCAGTTTGGTTTCATTGTATCTGTTTGTCGCAAAAAAATTGTGTGAAATGCTAGAGATTGATTTTTTTTTTTTTAATTATTATTATTATTATTATTATTATTATTATTATTATTATTTCTTTTTAGGATCTGGATTGTATTGATATTATTGAAAAGGTGGCTAAGCAACTGCATGCACATCCTAAACTTGAAAACATCATTTCTGTAACAAGTGCAAAAGTTCCTATAGTTAAATTTACATATAGTCATTCTGGTCTTGAAGGAGATATAAGTCTGTACAATACTTTGGTAAACATTCCCTTTTATTCCAAGAGTTCCTTGATTATTGTTATAAATGAATAAATCAAAGATTGTGGATGAATCTTGAAAATTAGTTTTTCATTTTTACCGAGATAAAGTACATGAAGTTATTGAGTCATTTTCAGCTTTACAAATGTTAGTATGTCAGTATCTGTAATTTTATATCATACGAGTGTATCAGCTTATTTTATATCATACGAGTGTATCAGCTATATTGAGTTTGTGTTTTGTTGCAATTTTTAATTAGTTTTCATTTTTTTATTATTTTGTTTTCAGGCTCTTGTTAATACCGAGATGTTAGAAACATACAGCAAAATTGATCAGAGGGTCCAAATTTTAGGCTTTGCTTTAAAATATTTTGCTAAGGTATATAAATATGTTATTTTTCCTAAATGTGTTGATTTCTATTCTGTATTAGTGTGTTCATGTTTACTTAATTGAATGTCTGTTAAATGTTATAGTTTTAAAATTTTGCAAATTTTTATTTTATTGTATTTATTTATTTTAATAAATTAAATTTTAACCCCCACTTTGTTTTATTTGATAATTATATTTGGTTTTACAGACTTTGGGAATATGTGATGCATCTCGTGGAAGTTTATCTTCATATGCATATATATTGATGGTTATATATTTCTTGCAACAGAGAAATCCTCCTGTAATCCCAGTTTTGCAGGAAGTAAGCTGTTAATTTATCAATATTTAAAAATTCTTCACCACTTCATTTACACTATGTAAGTCTTCAGCAGAGTGTGTAACTAAATTACATATTTAAGGAAATTTACAAATCTAAAGAATTTTAAATTTTTTGTTTAGGTGTTATATTGACGATTTGTCAGTTATGTGATATTAGTTGTGTATAATTTATGAGGGCAGCATTAACTAAGTGTGTATTAAAAGTGTATTTTTACTAAAGCAGTGGAATATTGTCTGTATAGTAATCCTTCGTATGATGAAGATTAAGTAAACTTTAATTTGGTGCATAAAGTTCTGTACACTGTTTAATTATAATAGATTGCATCAGTACATACAAAGAGCATTTCTGTTTCAAATCTAAGAGTGAACACTAACAAGCTTTACTCAACAAATGGATTTTAGTTTTTCGATATACTACAATTATGTATGATAATGTATTTGAGGTTTTGGTCAGATCAATTGACTATTGCTAGAAGCGACTTATTGTTTCACAGAGTAGCCAGACTTCAGCCGTTGACTGTATAAAATTTTCTGAAAAATGAAATATTTAAACTTACTGTCCCATTTTTAAAGTTGTCCTCCTCCTCTCTGTATTCATGCAGTATTTGAGAATCGTGTTGTGACTTGTACTGGGTGATTCAGAACTTGGGAGACAAATTTTAATGAAGTAAACATTGACATGATGATCTACAAAATTTTAATTTTTCCCCCATCTGCCAAATTTGCCAAACTTGGTTCTAAATGATTTTCTTTTTTCTTTCCCTTCCAAAAATTGAAGCGGTATTTCTGTAGTTTATATTACAACAACAATGATTATTAGAAAGATGTTATTCAGTAATGATTTGAAAGCTGTGACAAAATATTTTTTTCTGATGGAATCCAACACGTAATGGAATGCTGTGCTTAAGGCAGTGAAGTCAAGAGAAACTAGAAAACTGGAAAAGTAATTTTAAGTATTTGTTTTGTAGTGTGTTAAGCTTGAAACAAACTGAATGCTTCCCTTTCCCCCATATTGTATACAATAAGAGCATCTTCACATAAGCTTTTTATAACACAAGCTTTATAAATACTAATGGATCAAAATTATTTTAATAATTTATAAATTATTATTATTAATAGATAAAGCATAAAATTTTGAATTATTTAAATTTAATGTTACTGCATGTCATCTCAACGTATTTTTCATCTTTTATACAGATGTTTGTGGTTCTCTGTATTTCAGTGTATTTACACACAAAATTAAATAGAAAATAGAAAGCATATTCTTTGCTTTCTGTGAATTAAAACAAGAAATTAGAAATTTTAGAGAATTTTTTTTTTAATTATAATAATTGTTCTGTAATTTCAAAGTTTTTTTTTTTTTTTTTTTTTTTTTTTTTTTAAAGTTTTGCTGCTGAAAATAAAAGCTGAAAAAGAAAAATGTTTTATGTATTAATTTTGAATTTTTTGAATTTTTTAGTTATATAATGGTGAAAAACCTTCTAAATTGATTGAAGGGTGGAATGTGTGGTTTTTTAAAGATATAGATAAACTGGTATGTATTTTTATGAAAAATGTTTGTTTTATTTTAAACAAATTAATTTACTTTATGCAACAGCTATGTAATGATAGAACTCTTGATTTATATTGTGTATAAATGAAAACTTAAAACATCTCTCTCTCTCTCTTTTTTTTTTTAATTTCTGGAGTGAAAATGCTCAGAGTTTTAAGAAATACATAAAAAAATTACCATCATTCAAACTTTTTATAGGATGTGAATGCTTAAGTCTTTTGTTATCTTTCTGTAAACCATTTATCTATGATATTTTAAAGTTAATCTTTTATTTGAAAAGAAAGGAATTTTTCTTTTTTATTCGTATTTAATTTGCTTGATATTCAACATCTAGGCCAGATGTGCAACAGGACTGATGTTTACCAGATATTCCTTTCATCCGTAATGAGGGAATTCCTAATAATGGCTGTTAGAGGATGCTGATTAACAAACCATAAATAATTCATGGATATTTACGACTGCACTGTCTTTGTTCAGGTGTTTGAAATTTGTTGAAGTCTCATTTGAGGTACTGATAGTAGGGGAGGATAGATACAAGGCCATCGTTTCTGGTGTTATTGGTCAAACTGGGAAGAAGCTAGTCAACAGACCTCTTATGCTTTGTCTGAATTAAAAAACTTATTTCTTGAAGTGACTAATTTATACAATGTGCAAATTTCAGTAACTAGAAAAGGAATAAAGTACACTTAATGTATAAAATGTTAGTTCTTTCTCTATCCTACAAAGCTGAAATGTTCATTACTCGAAGATGCAAGTTTTCTTTCAAATAAAACTTCCCATTCCAACTTGCATATATCCAAAGCAGTTACAGCCATATTGTTGGATGACTGCAACATCATTCCATGCATTTGTGCATGTCACACAGCTTCCCAAACTACTGAGGGCTATAGAAAGGAGAATTTAGACACCTGTATGTGACTTTTCAGTGGCTCAGTTGGCTTTCATTTGCTTATAATAGACAACACATAGATCTGAACTGGTGGATGAATATCTTTAACCCTCCAAGTATTATGGATTTGGCCTTGAAACCCTAAAATTTCCCAAAATGGTAGGAATAAGTACCCATTATTATTATTATCCCAAAATGACCCTCTCACATTGTACCTTGATATCTTTTTTCAAATGTACATCTAATCTGAAATTGGATCTGTCAGGAGCTGGCAAGTATTTTTATATATAACGAATTGAAAAGCTATCCTTTTATGTGGAATTTTATGTCTCTAACTTTTGGAGAATTAAATTAGGATGGATTGACTAGCTATATCTTCAGATCTGAACCTGACTAAACATGTCTGAAATGCACTTGGGAAAGCAACTGCATTTTGCCATCAACATGAAAGAAAGATCAAGAAGCTTGCTTTGGTATAGAAGTGGATGTGACTGCCATGATTCATCAGATTTCATTTTAACAATGTGATGACTCAATGTGTGATCTTTATGTCTGTTAAGAGTGATTATTAACCTCATCTTATAACATCAGTTTTTGACCTTGCTTTTTTCATGAATGGTCATGGTACTCAGACCATGCATGAATACTATCATTCTTGTATGGCACAAATCAATGTTCTGTATTATTTGCTATTTATACAAAATGTCATAAAATTCTGTGGGATATTTTTTTTAAATCTGGGAAGAAAAAAAAAAAAAAAAAAAAGAATCAATATAAATATGTATATTTAGACTGACACAAGATGCATGCTCATTATTCCATAATTATAAACATATGTTCATGTATTCTTAGTGTTATAACTACTGATAAAGAGAAGTAGCAGATTGCATAGTAGCTTGACAGAGGCAAGCATGTGAAAATTATAATATTGACATTAGGTTAAAAGCAGTAAATTACATTATATTTCTCAGCAGAGGGACACTGCAATGCTTAATTAGTATTGGTTAAATAAAAGACATCAGTTCACTTTTGCCTTTGCATTTTATAAGAGTCATATGACAGGGATTAATTTTGAAGTGCTGTATTTCAGAAAAATTTATTATAAGCCCTTAACTCCAGGAAGGAGAAATAACAAAATTGAAAAGGTGACCAGGAGGATGTTGCCAGTTATAGTTAGAATTTTATTACATGTATATTTGTTACTTGGTAAGTGTTGAGAGTTTTATTAAATTGGTTGTAGTAGTATTTAGTGCGTTTAAATCTTATTGCTGTAATATATATTTAAAAAAAAAAAAAAAAATTGGTTAAAGAAAAAATTTACATAATAGTCCTTGCTCTTTTATAGGCAGATGTGTGGTCTGATTATGGGAAGAACAAAGAGAGTGTAGCAGAATTATGGTTGGGCTTACTGTCATTTTATGCATGTGATTTTGACTGGAGAGAGTATGTTGTATCCATACGACAGAAAAATCTTCTGACTCGTTTCAGAAAATTGTGGCTTTCTGACCAAATTGCTATAGAAGGTTTGTTTATTCAGTTATTATTTCATTATGATTGTTTCATTGATAATAATGGCTTTTGACATCAAACACATCTTCAACAGACTTTCCAAAATTTTTGGAATATTGAATAATATTACATTACTCTACTAAGTGCTTATCATTCATTATTTTGGCAAGTGTTCCTACAGTAACAAGACTGCATTTCACTACATTGGTGACCGTAGTTTTGTTGGTCACCGGTGTTCCTAGGTATGATCAGCACCGTCTTTTGGTTTCATTTAATTTCAGCAAAAATTTACTGTGCTGCCTGTGGCCTCGTGGATTGAAAGTCAGCAAATGATGTCTTTCCTTTTAACTTTATTTTTAAATTTATATCACTGCTCCAAATTGGTGATTTATTTTTTTAACTTCTAATTAGGTCGGGAATTATGGAGGTTGTAATCATGAGGCCCCCCTCCTTTTTTTTTTTTTTTTGTTTAAGAAGAGTGGTGGCTCAAATTCCATTTGAATCTTGTAAGATTCTGCTTAAATTGAGCATTTCATATGAACTATAGGATAATTTAATATGTGTGGCAAAGGACACCCCATAGAAAACTGCGACTCAATTACCACCAGCTGTGTCAACAGTAGCCTCACGAACGAGAAGACAGGTAGTACCTTTGACACACTACATCCAGCAAGCACATCGAAATGTCCATGTTACAGACAAGAATGAACTCAGCCAGGGAGTCTACTCAATAGAGAAGGTTTATAACAGAGAGCAGTTCAACATCAAAATTTTATAATGCAATCTCCAAAGGGGCAACCACACTTAGTACCGCGGAGGTGATATCTTCCAGTGCAGTAGACCTGGCACTCTTACAAAAACCTTACATGAGGGAGGGCAAACTTCCATCCAACCTTCAACAAGTAAATCTTGCGCCTCCAGTACGGGAATGGCAGCCATTTTGTATAACAGTCCTCCAAGTCCATTGCTAATGGATATGACAGATTACACAGTAACAATTTTGACTGAATCCTTCAACATGAAAATAGCAATCATTTGCATTTACTTTCCCCAAGCAAGCAAACTGAATGCCTGCTACAAAAATTAAACCAATCCTTACTACAAACATTCCAGAATACCTTAGCGGCTGGTGACTTTAATGTCACTAGGCCCGTATGGGGAGCACAGATAAAAAAATCACAGAGCACAGAAATTGTTAGAATATGTGATAGCTGTTGGACTAATAGTAATAAATAAAGAAGACTCAACCAGCATTTGACTATGAAAGAGCAAAAGGCTGCCCAGATGTCGCATTTGTCTTGCTATCAGTGTCCACATACATAAACAACTGGGAGATAATGGGCATACTCTCTCTGAGTGACCATCATATAATACAATATGAAATCAATAGTAGACTAACGCACCTAACAAAAAGGCAATTCAAGACCTGCTACCGAGGGCACAACACTTTAAAATATTACTTCAGGCGATGGGTGAACGAAATCTTGGAACAACTGGATAATTGCGACTCCCCGGAGGAGCTAGATACTACATATGACTTCATCATAACTAAATTAACATCAGGTCCCAATGATGTAGGTAATACCATTGTTAAAGAAATTCACAATTCCCAGGGTTGTTTCGATAACTATGCAGAGCTTGCTGGCGACTGGGACACTTCCCTAGAAGCATAAAACTAGTCGAAATTGCAGTCTTTCACAGGCAGGGCAAAGACCTGTCAGATCTGGCATCATATAGGCCTATAAGCTTCCTGCCTTCAATCAGTAAGATTTTAGAAAAAATAATTCTACAATGCCTTAATTTCCACATGTACGGGAACAAAACTATAAATGAAAAACAATATGGCTTCTGCAGAGGAAAGTCCACAGAAAATGCCTTAAAACAACTACTAGATAACACAGAGCAGAACAAAGATGACAATTTGTACATATTAGTTATATGATTGGGCATTCGATTTTTATGGTGGCCAGATGTAGTCGAATGGCTGGACACCATCAAATGCCCAAAGGAAATCTTGAGCCTTGTACGCAGCTACTTGCAGGATTGTTGGATACAGGTTACAATGGACAATGATGTGCTCAAAGTCAAGTTGGAAAGAGGCTGTCCCCAGGGTTCCTGCTTGGAACCTATGCTTTGGAATCTTGTAAGGAACACAACTTTCGCACTCTATGACCAACAGCAAGGAGTGGGTATCCAAGATACACGGACAACTTTTTATTGATTATATCTGGTAGCACGGGCATAAGACTAAAGGCACGAAACACGATCAATACTTTTGCAAGCAGGGCAGATCAGCACAAATTAAACATCTCAGCAGATAAAACTAAACAACTTTTATATGTAGGCATGGAGTGCAAAATAGGAATCCTAGCATCAAGCTAAATAAGAGTCTCTATAAAAGAAGTCACCGACCTTAAATACCTAGGTATTATAATTAACAATAGGCTTTCCTGGGTGCCACACATTAAAGAGCTTAAGCAGAAAATAAATTAGCTTAGCAATTCCATGGTTAAAATAACAGGACGTCATTGGGGCACTCCAATCACTATTCTCAAAAGCTGGTACAGAACAATCTCAGAAAAGATCATTTTATATGTGGCTGCCATATATGGGGAAGGGAGTTCACTGCCCATATGAGGAGGTAGCTTCTCACCATCCAAAGAATGCAACTATTGATTATATGGAAGGTTACAGAACATCCTCAACTGCAGCCCTGCAAGTGCTGGTGGGTATTTCTCCACTGGACCTTTTAGTGGAGAGAAAATCATTATTAGTAAGAACACTGCACCTGGAAGATAACATCTTTCTGTGGCAAAAGACATTCTACCACAAAGACTATGAGAAGTACAAGCAGATCATGCTTGAACACCCTGCAGATACGGACTTAGACAGAGAAGGACACAGGCTGCATCTACTGTGTACTTTAAGAAGGAGAAATGTAAAAAATTGGGAAAGCCAAATGGATGACAAAAATACCATCTTTCAGGTGGAGCTTCTAGCATTAAAATCAGCCATCAATTTCGCAAAATATCAATTCAACAAAGGTCAATATATATAATGACTCCTCCTCAAGTTTAGAGGCCATCCGAGGGTATAAGTCAAGGAGTCTTTTAGTGCAAGATATTCAGAAAATTCTCCTAAGGCTCCCACCAGATGACAGACACAATCAGTCTTCAGCAGCCTTCTACAAGAATGGCAGAAAAGATGGGAAAGGGAAAGCACAGGGAGGAGAACCTACAAGTTCTTTCCAAAAGTTTCATGCTCAGTTAAAACATACAGCAGCTCACAAACTCATTTCTACACTGGCCATGGTTCCTTCTTACATTATTTTGAGAAATTTGGCAAACGAGACTCAGAACTATTTGAATGTGGTGTGGTAGGTGATGCAGATCACTACCTCTTCAACTGCCCACACACTGATAAATTGCATTTAAAAATACCAAGCGGGCAATACTGGCCGCAAATGAGTGGAGAATACCTGTGGCAACAAGCAGGCAAAAACTAAAATAGAGGAAATGATTAAGCAAGGTATTAAGAAATCCCCCCCTTGAGAATTGGATATTCGCAGCATAATTACAATATCAAATTAATGTGGTGGGGAGAGGCCTTACAAAAGTTGGGTACATTGAACTGACAATTCGCAGCAATATGGTGTAGTTATCTCTTGCAATAATGCCAAAGTAATTGAATGGTAACAAAGTTACTTCCTTGTTAGGTGCTACAGCTATAATAGCAGTTGCAACTTTTCCAAGCAAATAAGCTAAGGTACCAGAAAATTGAGTCACATAACTCCCTACCCAGTTTAAGCCAGATAGTACTACAACAACTAAAAATCAATGTTAGAAAAATAGCTCGTTCCGTAGAATTTTCTTTGATCATCTCAGTAAAAGTATTGAAAATATGAATTCAAATAATGCTTAAATATGTACATAACTGTCATGATTATATCTAATTATCTCATGTAACTTATACAACACAATGTCTCAGGGTTGCCACTCTACCTGGAAAACCAAGTCAGGGAATTCGAAAATTGACCAAAAAATTAAGGGAATAGTCAGGAAATTTAAATATGTGAGTCAAAATCTGGAAATGTCAAGGAATCTGGAAAAGTCATGCAGCTATCCCCCCCCAAAAAAAAACGAGTTTTGCACCGACTTTGGAAACGATCACTTTCTTGGCGAATTATGTATCGTGTGAGCATCATTCGGCCAGCTGGCCTAGAGGAATTTTCGCAGCTCCAATCAGATTGTCTTTTAGAAAGGCAAAGCAAGTTTCCAGCAACTTTTTGTTTCCAGTAACCTTGAGTATCGAGAGACTCCCATGTGCATATGCAGTGCATGTTGAACTAAGGAAAATACATATTCTCATATAAAATAAAATCAGTTTAATCCTAGTATAGGGTACCATGGAGGTTAGAATAGCCCAGTGGAGTAGCGAGCATAACTGGCGCCCCGGGCAAAATACCTTTTTGCCACGCCCCTCAAAATAAAACCAGTGATATGGTGAAAATCTTGTTTGGAGACCATTTGATGCCCCTTTGTGAGTGGCACCCGGGGCATTATACACCCCCTTGCACCCCTCGCTACGTCACTGGAATAGTGCCCATGTACTACCATATACATGGGATTTAGGGATATTATGATGAGCAGTAAACGCATCATTTTGGTGTTGGCGACAATTTTCAAAATCGTGCCAAGGCCGTAGCGTATACTAGGATTTTACAGCAAAATCTTTTTAACCCCCCTTTTTTTTTTAAATAAATGCCTTATTTGTCACTTTGCAGAAAAATAGGGTACTTTTCAGTTTCGCCAGCGCAAATCTCGTCAAGCAGACTTTATTGGTGACAACATACAGTTATACACATAAAAAATGTTAACAAATGTTAATTCTAAGAATTTTTTAGTTTGGATTTTATTTATTTATTTATTTTTTCCATTTCAATATCGTTTAAAATTTTGTAAAAAGTCAATAAATAAACACAATAAATTTGTAAAAAGACATTTATTTAGAAATTTAGTATGCTTTCGTAATACCTGATTCATCAGTTCGTATCACGTGACCCCAAGTGATCTCATCACGTAAACTACTCTACAAAAATCTAATTCTCTCAGTAATTATCTACATTAATTTCAAGTTAAATCTTAATTTGGAATACAAGTTTAAATGCAAAAATTATTTCAATTCGTAGAATAGCTTACTCAGAAATTATGTAAAAACTCAGTGCTTTACTTCGCTAGTGCATTCTCATTAGAATTGATGAATTTAGTACTTGACCTTCCCTTTTCTATATTTTCGCTTTCGGCTGAGCTGTATGATTGCATCCTAATTAACTTAAGTACCACGAATGGTTTTAGGCCATAAAATTGAACTATCTGGTAAAAATTCTATGTTACCAGTGAAAATATTCTGTTTGGCATCAGTTTTACCAATATTGGCGATGTTATTGCCTGCGGAAAAGTAACAAAAATAGTAATTAGTTACCTAGGCTAACCATTTAATGTAACTATATATGCCAAAACATCGTTGATTATTCTATTTCAATGTTTAAATAATTATCTTTATTTTAATGTTATTTGTGGCATTTAATGTTGCTTCTTCTCTAAATTTATTTATTATTTGTTAGTAAATAATACTCTCAAAGTTCAGGAAATTTTCTCTGGCATAATCCTGAAATTAATTCTAGCATATGATGACACACCATCATGAAACTTAATGCACATATTTTTTGCTTATGTATGCTACTAAATAAATATAAAATACCTGAGTTTATATAAAAATATTATTAAATAGATTTTTCTTTCGTTTAGCTGAAAAATGTCGGGGGGGGGAGACATTTTTTTAATCCAGATTGGACAGATTCTAATCTCAATATTCAGTGGAGAAAACAACTCCTATTAGTTATATTAGTAATGCTTTGGGGATTATATATTATAAGTTGTATGTAATTGGCTAATTTTTGTGTTTTCAAGTGGTATCATAATTAATTTATCTCTTAGCACAGCCAATGTGCGTTACGCAGATAGACTGGAATTTTCTTAAAACACACCTGGAAAACCTGGAAAAGTCAGCAAATTTCATTTTCCTGTTTGAGTGGGAACCCTGATGTCTGTAATTAACATATCTATGCTTGTATGCCCATGTAATATTTATTTTTTATATGGAAGAAATAATCGCTTCTGCCAGGATAACCATTAACACAGTAATATTTTTACAACAAAGTCAGACCAGTGGTTATCTCAGGCAGTGCTCAGTAGTGAGACAAAGCAAAGGAAAAACTCTCACCTTTTGTGCCATAATAGAAACGGTTTCATCTTCATGTTTAAATTATCAGTCCTCAAAGGGGGGGGGAACTGAATAAACTCAGCTGACATGGCATTTCAGTTAAGAGTTATCTTTCCATAGGAGGAAAGTAAGAGTTGAAGTTATGATTCTGGTTATCAGAATTAAAAAAAGGAGAAAAGAAAGGCACATCTGCAGAAGTTAGCAGGTAGTTCAACAGCTGTGGTCAGTTTCCTTACAAAAATTAAATATCTTTATTTCAGCTCAGCTCTCAAATTGAGAAAGAGAATTCTTTGAAGATAGATATTATGCCAAAATTGGTACACTATGAAATTTCTTGCTATACTTGGTCTCCTATTCAGAAGCCGCAGAGAAGCTGAATTTTCAGAAAATGCAAAAAGAATAATTTTTTAAGCATGTTTGAAGTAACTTACAGAGTTTCAATTATTTTTCTAAACATCTTTTGGGAGGTGCTTCAGATGGTACAGATTGTTTTATAAAATTTTTAGTGATGTATTAAAATTTTAGCTGCAGAAAAGCTTCAGAATTTTTGTAAAAATATAAAAAATTCTGGCTACTTCTCAGTTATTACTAATTCTACTCTTTGCATAAATCATATGTACCAATTTTTTTGTTTTAAAATATTGTATGAAAAGCTAAAAAAATAGACCGGTATTAGTTTCATGTCCATTAAATCTCACAGAGCATACAAAATATCAGATTTTAGATTAAGGTGTAAAGAAAATGTTATGATAATACTTTGAACATATCAAAGCTCCATGAAGGTCTTAATTAAAAATAGAAAGCCTCACAGCTTTTTTTTGTGTTTTGCTAGATTTATTATATGAATTCATTTGGAAACAATGTTGCACATCTGATGTAGCTTACTTCGTTATTTACCTGCAACAACAGGCTGAAGTACTTAAATTTTATCTTTAAACAAAGTTACATTTTATAAAGCAGTTGAGTGATAGTAAATGTTTACCAAAAATAATTCTGTAAAATTTCAATGGCATGATTACAGTAAATTTAAAAGAGCATTCATTAAAGTTTCAGAGTCTGAGACTAAAAGTCTCGAGTAAAAATAAAAACAAAACTTTAACAAACAAACAAAAAAAGAAAGAAAGAAAGAAAGTCTTCGTGATTTGACTGTCTTCTGGGACCAAGGCTATTGTAAAGAATTAACAGAGTAGACAGATGTTTGCAGAAAGTAAATGAAAACATGAAGGTTATCTACTTCAATAGCTGAAACTATTCTGTGATGAAGTGCATTATAAGTATTCTGGCATTGAAATAGAAACCTAAAAAATTGTATTTTATGAATATTAATAAGTGACTAGTAGAGGAGTTTTGCCATTAAAAGTGCAGACAATAAAATAGAAGTGAAAGGAATTGAAAAGACTCGAGTGAAAATACTGTGTGTTGTTTGCGGAACCTAATAGTTGAACTCAGAAAGAAAAGCAATGTTAGAATGTCTGTTTGATCTGTCAAGTGGGGATTTTTGTTGATAAACCATCAGGTCTTCAAAAAGTGAGCTCAAGCTAGAATTTCAAAGTATATGTATATAACATAGATGAAAAAGTATTCAGTAAAAAAAAAGAAAAAAATAATAATAAGTAAAGCCTTTGTTAAAGGGCCTTCATTGATTTCTACTATTTTGTTAGATCTTCCAATTTTACTGGGAACTCTGTTTGGAACAAATGCTGTGAATACCAACTTCTTGTTGTAGGTAATTCTTTTAATCTGTTACTATTTTCATGCCCTGTTGCTATTATTAATACACTCTCTGTTTTATGGTAAGATCATGTAACTTTGAAACTAATCCACTGCTTTTCTGTATAATGCAAGTCCCAAATTTTAATATTTTTCACCCAAAATACAAGAAAAAGTATCTTATTCATAAAGACTAAAGATGGCTTTTTGAGAATCAAAGTTACATCAAATGGAATTACAGATGTTTTAAGTGTATTTTTATGTACCGCTTATCCATAATTGGCTTTAAATTGTGCTGCTTGGCAACAGTTTTTCTTTTGAAGAATAATACATAAGTAGCAAAAGTAGTAAACATACCCCATTTCTTATATGAGGGATTCCGAAAAATTCTGTCGAGAACAGCTCCCTATTTTGTAAATGTGTTTCTTTCAATTTATAAATCAGAGTGATCAACAAATTTGACAGGTCCCAGGGTGCTTCATTATCATTTTAATTTGTAAATCTATTAAAATTTACTATTAACGTCCATACTGATGATCCATCCTTTATTGGTGTGAGGTGGTGGCTGTCCACCTCAAGTCGTCAGATGATAACTGTCAAACTCTAGGTCACTAGAGCCTTGATACCAACCTACCAACAGCCTTGATAGGTACCATGTGCTCTGGTTTAATTTAAATTTCTATCAAAATTTTGCTGCATTATCCTACTCTGATGACCCTAAATGCCCATTGAAATTGTAGTTCACAAGTGTTCAACAGGCATTGTTGCACTTTGGTTTAATTTTAAGTATACATATATATATCTTCTTATTTTATAGTGTATTAACAAGTTGCATGAATCTTTCTCAAACTGCAAGATATGTTTAATTGATAATTATTTATTTTTTTCCTTTTTTCATTAGATCCTTTTGATCTGAATCATAATCTTGGAGCTGGATTAAGCAGAAAAAGTAAGTGTTGAAGTTTTTAAATCCTATAATGTAATATTACACCAACAAAATGCCAAATTTTTTAGATTCGTAGCAGTGAAACAATGCTAGTTCCCCCTTCCTTAAATTAGATTTTTTTTTTTTTTTTTTTAGATTGAAAATTATGCCAAATGTGAAATTGGGTTCTCCCCCCCCCCCCCCCCTCCAAATGCAGAAAGCATGTTACTGGAAAATTTTCTTTGTCAAGTTTGTTAAATTTATGGACCATATTGCATGTAAGATTTGATGGCGAGATGTTTTCGGAAAGAATATAATGATAGTAATAGAATGGTCAGCACGCTGGCAGACTGACTATTGTGAAAGTCAGTTTGATAATGGATGTTGATTAAGAAAAATGCGAGAATTAATAGTTCATAAGTTTGTTGCTTTCTATGCATTTGCCAGAAATATCAAAAAATTTTGTAGTTGTTGTTCAAAATTGCCAGTCTAAAAACAGTTGAAAGTTATGCTGTCATGGATTTCAGAACTGCTTTCTGAAAATAAAACAGATTGATGTTGTTCTTAACTTCTTAACTCAGTACTGTCAGGAAGATGAGGAACTCTTTGAGTCATATAGTTACTAGTAATGAAACATGGGTATCCCATGCATCTCCAGAATTGAAGATTCAATTCATGGAATGAAGAAATTTTGGATCTCTGAAAAATTTTAAATTCAGCTAATGATTTTAGCCAAAAATAAAAGATGTTTCCAAGCTTTGCTCATGCAGAATGATTTTTATTTGCTTGTTTTAATTATTTGTTCTTTTTTGCTATTCGCTACTAATTAGTAAAGTAGAAAATTTGTCCAACATCTAAATTAGTTAATATAAATATAACTTTGTTCAAAATTGTTAAAATAAAAAGCTGTAAATTTCTTTTGTTTTCAGGCATGAAGGATTAGTTTCTATGTTATTTGAAAAAACAGTGTTCTTATATAAATATTTTTCTGAATTATATACTAACCATTTGGGTCCAATACCTTTTGCCATTCTTTTGGTAACAGCACGATTCCATGCTCATAAAAGTTCTTATTTTTGCTTATGAAAAAATGATCCAAGTGATTTTTGATATCCTCATTTAAAGTAAATGTTTTCTGTTTGCAAAAAATTTTTTAAGAATGGAAAATAATCAGAAGGTGCCAGATCTGGCAAGTATAGTAGATGTGGTAGCACATCCCATCCATGCTGTAACTGTTTTTGATGAATTGCAAACTATGTGAGATCTGGAATTATATCCATAAAACTCAACACTTTTTCTATTGATCAGTTCTGGCCTCTTCAGTTTGAAGGTATTACTCAGTTTATCCACTTGAAGGTAGTACACTTTTGAATCAACTACTGAATTGTTTTTGTAGAAGCTAAAAAAAAATTGCTTTAATATGTTACAGAACATCACCTTTTCATGAATATCAGCTCTGAAGTCACAAGTTGTTGAATCTTTTAGAATTTCATGTAATGAATGAGTTAAGGTTCTAGGAACTGCAATTAAATATATAGAGCGATAAAAAGAACTACAGGAATCGATATAATAATGCTGCAAAGATGGATAAGTTTGGCAGTGAATCAAGAGCGTCTGCGATCAAAAATTTCTTTCAGTCATTACAGGACTGAACTTTTGAATATCTACTGTACATACTGTATTTAACTTCAGACATTTCTGTGAATATGTAAGGTTCATTTTTTTCAGTTCATTTTTACTGTTTTGCTGTGAAACATAATTATTAGGTTTATAATATGTAAAATTATAGTTTGACAATTAATGATCTTTTTCTTAACACCTAACTATTATCGGATATATTTGCTTATCCAACATTATGGCTGTCCTTTTATGTCAATAGGAATATTATATATATGCGTGTGATATTTGCAGTAAATAAGCATTGGAAAAGATGAAGATTAGCAATCTGGGCACATCAGAGTCCAGGTGTGGTCGTTGTGAAGTGAAAGGCAGCCGAATTGAAGTCACAGAAGAATTTCATTTTTAAAAACTCCATATCTTTATTCACTTAAAATGGCAGATCACTGTTTTTTTAGATTCTACAAAATTACATATCCAATAATGATTTAAATTAAAATAAGGTTAAATTTAGGCTTTTGACATTATAACTATTCTAAAAAAGGGAAGAAGAAGAGAGAGGGCAAAGCAGGATCTTATAGCAGCGATAGCAGGAAGCATTCTGATGAAAAATGGTAAATGGTGCGAACTCTGCATTTATAGTAGTGATTACATAACATGCCAGAATGTTCTTGAAAGTACTGATCTAGGGAAAAGATCCTGAAACTGCGGAAAGTTAATTAGAGGTTGCCTGTTCACGTAGAGCAAAGCCATCATATTTTTTATATTTTACATATATATATATGTATGTATATATGATTTGTGTATTTTGTAAATTTTAACAACAATCATACTCCTAATATGTTTGTTAATGTTTCTTTACAAGTCTCTTGCAAGTAGAAAGTTGAAATAAGAAGTTTTCCATTTTCAGAAAATAAAAAGTTTATTATATTCTTATAACTTGTAACACAGAGTTTTATTTTTCTATAAATTTGCAATCTTATGCAGATAAATAGGTAGCATCAGTGAAATTGAAATGAGATATAATGCCTTGCTAATTTTTCAGTGAATTCTTACATATTGAAAGCTTTTATTCGGGGACGGGAGCGTTTTGGAACTCCATTGTCAGTCGAAAGAATGAGCACTATACTTGGTTATGAAGTGGTATGTTTTTTATTATTTGAAGTAAATTTGTTTTTTCATGTGTAATATACTTTTTGGAAGGTCCTTATTTTTTTCTATATATTAATTTATTTATTTTGGTGTCCAAGCAAATTTTGTTCACCATTCAAAAAGAAAAAAGCCTTTTATACATTGTGCAATAAACGTAAATATTTATGTGATGCACAAAAACAAATTTGCATAATTAGATTACTTGCCACATTCTGTGTTATCATGTCCATACAACGACAACTTGGCATAGACTGACCCTTCATAATAAATGTGCATGTATTCGAAAAGATTTTATGCAAAAGTATACTTACTTTTGATAATAAATGGGCTAAATTATATTTTGTTTAACTTAATAAATGAAATGTTCTGCCATAGCATTAAAATGAAGATTTTTGAATAAGACTAGTACTGTGCTTTTGTTTTTTTATATAAGCTTGTCATTTCTGCCATTTATTGCATATTAACAGTACTTGTTTGATTTCCTGGATTATTATTTATTCAGAAACTAAAAAATTTTGTTCACTATAATGTTAATTATTTCTTTGTTTTTGCTAATTTGGCTTGAACAGTTTTATAGAAAACCTGTGCTTTTATACTGCAGGGAAGTTTCTACTTTCTCTCTGTATAAATTATATGCCAAGAAGAATGATAGCTGGTATATGGATATGTAAACTGCAAAAAAAAGGGGGGACAGTTCTATATAGTAGCCAATTGATGAAATTCAGTGTTTTCCATGTCTCGAAAGTGTGACTTAGGATATGTATTAGATTTATATGTAGCATTGTTCTAACATAGGTATTTTGACACAAAATCGGACTTTTCTGGAAAAACATACCTTTATTTATTTATTTATTTAAGTTCTGCAACTCAAATTATCCCAAACTGCAAGGTTTTGTTAAAAAGTGCATGGAATTAAAATTAGCTCTCAAAATTTTAGCACCTTAATGTTAATTGAATTTGGTTTATATTTAGTATCTCTTTTTTTTTTTATTGAACTTATTTGATTCTTCCTTTCACATTTCAAAATTTAGATTCATTCCAAATAAAATTCGCTCATTTTTTTATGATTTAGTTTTAAAATTTGTATTTTTAAATAATTTTTACAAATTTTTCGAAAAATATTTTGAATCATAACCTATAAAATTTTTATTATTATCTTAAAGTAGATGTTATTTCTAGGCATACCTGCAAAAAATTAGAGCTTTTTATTGAAAATTTTCAAAGATACAGTCAAATACCGAAAATCTGCCTCTCAAAGTATAAACATTCAGTTTATAGGTTACCGCAACATTGAGTACGAAATATCGAAGGAAAAATACTTACCGAATAATGATGTCATAATTACCAAATAATAATGAGTCATAACGGAAATACCAAATTATTGACATAAAAAAAATTTTAAAACATAAAATAAAAGTTTTTTCCCTCTAATCTTTGTATCGAGGTAAAAAAGCAGACGATTCACTCAACTCTTCATTCAAGGTCACGATTCATGTTGTTATATATTCTGAGCTTTGTTATTTCACGAGATTGTTTAGTGCTGCCTTTTTTTTATCCTGAAATTTTGTGGGTAAATTAAGAATATTTTAAATTTCAGCCCTTTTTAATACAGTGACTGATAAGAAATGCAGTCATGATTTTACTGCTTTTAACGTTGAAAAACGTAAACACGTTGCATTGGCGGTAATGCAAAAAGTGCAAATTCTGCAAAAGATGGAGGCAGGTGCTACTCCTCGATTTATAGCAGAATGGTATGGAATTGCGACACGATTGTGTATGATATACGGAAAATAAAGAAAAGCTGTTGAAATTTTACAACAACAGTGATTCTAACATTGGGATTCGAAACCGGAAATCTTTGCATGAAGTGAAATCGGCAAATCTCGATGCTGTGTATATATAATACAAAGAACACTATAACAATTTATATATGTAATAATAATTTAATGCATATAATAAATTATTGCAATAATATATATAATAATTTAATTAAATGTATCTAATATACCTTATTTATTTTGCACTTTTCGTACAAATATTATGCTTTATCTTTTCTGTCCTGAAATCCGCAAAATCCTAAAATCCTAATAACCTCTGGTCCCAAGCTTTGCGGATTTCTGGACTTCTACTGTATGCGTGAATTTATATACTGGCGCATTTTGAAATTTGGCATATTTATTATAAAAAATAATAAATCAAATATGCTTTACACACTTTGTTAAATTTATTTGAAAGAATGAACCCTACCTTTTTTTCCGCTTGTCCTCAATAAAAAGAAAAAAGAAAAAAAAAAAAAAAAAAGAAAAGAAAATAGGTTACAGTACATTAAGAAGTTCTCTAAGTAAATTATTTTTGGTGCAAACTGGGGGTGGAGATGTGCCAAGATAAATTTTTTAATTTCTTCGTAAATTTCTCGCCAAATTAAAAAAAATTAATATTTAAGAATAATTTGAGTCGTAGAATTGAAATGTGGAAAAAATCGGCATCTCATTTCAGAAAAAGTCTGATTTTGTGTCACAATACCTACACTAGAACAGTGCCATATATAAATCTCATATATATCCTTAGTTGCACTTTCGAGACATGAAAAACACAATTTAAATTTCATCAATCGGCCCAGTAGAACAGGAGATATAGGTCTGTCCCTTTATGTCCGCAGTGTACATCAGCTTTCTTAGCATAAATCTGTATTTTTGTAATAATTTAAATAATCAGTTGAATATGATTGAAATTATTTCTTAATGAAGCTTCAGCAGATACTTACTCATTAGCTACCAAGTTAAAATTGAAATCTTAGATATTTACATGCTGTAATTTTTGTTTTGGGAATAATAAATAATGAAAACCATGAATATAAACCTAATTTAGATTTGTATACTGTATTTTGTTTTGTAAACATAATTTAACGCTTTGTTTAAACTCCTTTAATCTTGTGTTTAACCTTAATTAACTTTTATGCTGCTTTTAAGGTTAACCTTTTTTTCCACACTATCTTAGGGGTACCTGTTTGATCGCCGTTTTCTGAATTCTGGTTGTGAACCTCCTCATGACAGAGGTTGTCGAAACTGTGGAAAAATAGGGCATATTGCGAAAAACTGTAGCCAACAAAAGAGGTGCTCAGTGTGCAATAGCAGTGATCATTTATGTAAAAACTGTCCTAAAAGACGTAAAGGGAGAAGATCTAAAGGTCCAGTGCAAAATGATTTTCATGGTAAGAATACATTTTTTTACTCCCTTCTTGAGTATTCTATTCGTATTTTTGACAGCATTGGTGTAATATGTATTATTTTAGAAATTAAACTAAAATAAAAGCGCTGCTAAGTGTTTCATCTTATTCGTAATTTTTGTCAATTTTATTTATGCTACTTTTAATGTCTGTGTATATTTTGTTATTGCTTTTTACAAAAAAATAAATGATTTTGCCTTTTGGAATAATTTATAGAATGGGAATGTGCTATAGAGAAATTGGAACTAAGTTTTATAGTAAGATAATTTTTGTTATCTGTCTGTATTGATTCACTGGATCAGATTGTGAAGAACTTTCATCATTCTGCTTTTGTGTTTTTTCTGTGCTTAAAAAAATTAATCATGCATAGTGTTTCAGAATCTAAGCAATCTTCCCGTATGTTTAAGTGTGCTTTCATTGTCACCGAACTGGGTATTTGCTGTGTTTGCTGTGATTCTTGTACAAGTAAATTATGTTTTCACTGGCATAGGATTGAAAATTAATGCTTTAAGTATGTGGTGGAAAATTATTTTCCCTTCTGCTTTCCCCAATCATAGTGATATTACAAATATTTTATTTGCAGTTGGTTCTGCTTTGAAATTTTAATGTAATATTGTTTTATCAGCCTTTTCTTTTTCTTTTTTTCTTTCTTTTTTTTTAAAGGTAGCTCTGGTTGATGAAAATAAAGTTTAAATTTTTTGGTATCAAAAGATTTAACTTTTCATATGTATATTTGATAAAATTAAGTAAAGAATCAAGATATTTAAATTATTTTTAGAGTAGGTTATTAAGATAAATGATATTTTTGAATTTATGTCAAAAAAATTTTAATTGTTCTTAAGAATTTTTAAAAATTGTTATAGAATTTGATAAACAAATAGTGTTTTTTGAGTATGATGGAGAAAATAAGGGACATAATTTTCAATACTATTTATTAAAGAAAATGGATGATATTATGATAATGAATGTTGTTATAATGAATATAATTAACCCTCTGAGCGACACAGGATTTTAGATCCATCATGAAGACTAGTATTTAAACAGCGTTTATTATTTGAGTTTGTATAATTACTTATTTTAGTGTGTATTTTCATAAACTTACATTCATTAAGATGATATCTACATTATTAAAGAAAGTAAGAAAGCAAAAATTATTAAATTATAAGCTAATATATGCCAAGTAGCAAAATTTCTAATGACCTGATAAAGCCGGTCATAACGCTCAGAGGGTTAATTCTAAAGTATTAATAATTTTAGAAATTGAATAATTACAACAAAACTGATTATAAGTAATGGAATTAAGAAGTGAAATTAATACAGATAAGTAATATGAAATTAATGGATAACTGTATATTAACATAAATATATTAAGATAAAATTTTGAAGGCTCCCACCTTATGACAAATACTTCATTTTTTTCATGTATGATTATTATTTTTTAATTCATTCTTTCTTTTATATATACACGGGTTGTCATTAATTAAGGAAAAATCATTTCAGATATTTATAATGTTATATAAATTAGCATATGTATGCAATGAACAAATCGAATGTGTCAGAGAGCTTGGTATAGGAAAATTACATTCTATTATGGAGTTTGATCTCCCCTAGAAGCAATACAGCACATACAGTAATGTGTAATGCTGTCAATTATATGGTTTATCATTTCTGCAGGAATTGAGAGCCATTGCTCTTGTAAAGCAATTGTAAGCATGACAAGGGTCTGGATTGTGAGCAGCTATACATCTTCCTAAAGCATCTCAAACATGCTTAATAGGATTCAGGCCGAGAATTCCGACTAACCTGTCAATCGAAATTTTTTCGTTTTCAGTAACCTCTGGTCACTTTCTTCACTATAAGTAGTGGTATTTTCTGGATCTATAACCATACAACAGATTTCATAATGTGTTAATTGATTTATGATTGGGGCATGATCATCGCAATGGAAAACTTCTATTAATTACTCTTTTTTGCTGAATTCTGCCACCCGGTGTGGCCATGGGAACTTTGGCTTTATGTGAAAAAATAATCAGTTATTCTCAATTCAAATAACACTAAATGTAATCTTTTAGCCTATGAGTATCATTAACTAAATCTATTTTTAGCATATGAAAAGAAATTTTTGTTAAATTGTTTCTCGTCAACTTTTCTTAGCACATTTAACTTAAATCTCTAATCGGTGCCAAATGTAATGTCAACAGCAAAGATTACCATATTTTTCGTTAGTCATTTACTGATATAAAAAAACAAAAATTGTTTAGGCATGAGTCATTAGTCTAATTGTCATGCTCATGTATTGATAAACATGCGGTGATGAAAGAAAAATATATTAAATAATGATTCTCCAGGTTGGTGTCAAGGATATAAAATATTAGTTGGTGTAAAATCAACAATGTTTCTGCGTAGAATGTTTTTGTTTGATATGTATGCCAAACAGAATTGCAGTTACGGAGTCAAATTATTGATCATATAAATTTATGCTAAAATGATTATTTCTTTAATAATGAGGTATTTTATTTAGTGCCGAAGTGAGAATAAGAATTAGGAATCTCCGCATGTTTTATTGTGAGGGGAAAAATCAAAAGTGCATGTGTAAAGCATATCCCCCCCCCAAAAAAAAATCCTAAAACAAAAATGGTTGGCGGTGGCTTTGAGGTGTGGATTTTAGATCGTTCCTGATATTGGACGTCTGGATCTTGGACTTTGTACTGTATTGTAGAGAAGTAAGTCACATCTTGGGGCCATTTATATGTTTCTCATTGAAACTGTAAATATTATATAAAATTTTTCTTCCTTTGCTAAAACTCTAATACTTTTTTCCCAAAAGGCTTTTCTATCACCAAGCCTTTTCCTCCTTGAAGGGGATGGATGTGTTATGTTTAAAAATACGAAGGAAAATTATTAACAAATTAAATTTAATTGGAACAAATTTCTAACTTTATTGGCAGTAGCCATTTAAATTCTTAATTTCAATGAATTGCATCCCCTCTTCAATTGCACCATTTTTCATTATTATTTCTCCTGCATTGCAAAATTTCTTGTCCAGTTTCTATCCAGAACTTCAAAAAAAAAAAAAATTCCAAACTATAAATATTTCAGCTGCCTTGAGCGGATCCTCTTTTGCTGCTTGCTTATGCCTATTGAAGCTCTTTGCTAAGCTTATTTTTTCTACCATCTGAAATATACGCTGCATGTATAAAATTGTGCAGTGTGTTTAGCACCCCTAGTGTTGCTCAATATCATAAGAAACTAATATATCATACTAAACTTATATAATATACTAAAAAAACTTATATAATATACTATAAAACTTGTATAATATACTAAAAATATAATATACTAAACTCAATATCATAAGAAACTAACTAATAACAAGGATATATCATAAGAAACTAATATATTATGTATTGAACTCAGCACATTTGTGTGCAACTTCATCTTTTCATCTGCACAACATCTTGAAGCTGTCTTCCGTGATGCATCTTATTCGTGTGCGAGCTACATTTCTCTACAGCATTTCAGTCATGACTACTAAGTGATTTGGTTTCAACTTCTGCCGAAATTACAACATCACACACATACACACATATATATAATCAAGAGATCGTAATGAAATCAAAAATAGCGGTAAAGTAGCTAACAGAAGAAAATAAATCAGAATTTAAAATAAAGACATACGATAAAGCAGCAAATTTTTTGGTCTTTTCAAGGAGTAGCTAGAAAATTTTCCACAGAGCTACTTTTCAGAATTATATCTGGTTGATTATAAAAAAAAATTCATAAAATAAATGAAAATGTGAGGACAGATAATAAACAAATTTTAAGTAATTTAAAAAAATGCAAAGCCCATTAAAAATCGTATATACAGTGGCTCCCAAAACTGTTTGTACACTTATGATTTTCATTGAAATAGGGCTCTATCCATTAATTAAAAGTAAACTTTTTGAATGAGGTTTAAATAATAAGATCTATAATCTATTTGTAACAAAATTACATGAATATTTTTAAAATATAGCGAAACTTTTTTTAAGAAATAATAATTAAAAAAAATAAACATTTATCTCACAAAAGTCTTCATACACTGAAATATTTTTGGATAAAATCAAAATTAGAGTTATTGTTTGCCGCTTTTTTTAAATTTTTGCATTGTGGTGGCATTTAAAAAATCGTTTGCTTTAATTTTTTATTGTTCACTTCATAATATTCTATTTATTATTGAAAAATGGGTCGCAGTCATAAAGAAATTACAAACAGCATTCGAAAATGGATAATTTTTCACCATAGTAGTGGCAAATAAATTCAAAATATCCCTAAATTAGTTAATTTATCACATTCTAAAGTGCAGTATGTAATAAAACGCTTTAAAGAAAAAATTGTATTGAAAACAAGGTAAGATAATGTCGACTGAGAAAGTTAACTAAACGTGATGAGAGATTTATTATTAGAAAATTTGTGAAAAACTCACGTTTGAGTGCTGTAAAAGTTCCTGCAGAATTTAATGCAAAGTTTTCTACTTCATTTCACACACCTTAAACTGTTCGACAAGTTCTCAGAGAAGCTGGATTACATGGGTGTCTGCCCGTAAAAAAATTTTAGTGAGAAAACGAAGCTTAGGCTTCATTTGCAAAATCAATGATAAATACACCTGAAAGTAGTGAAAAATGTCCTATATGCTGACGAAGCAAATTTTAATGCTTTTGTTCTGATGGTCAATAACTGTATAGAGAAGAAAAAATGAGGAACTTCATTCTAAGAACTTAGTTGGAACAGTTAAGCATGGCGGTGGAGGTGTTCTGTGGGGGGGGGGGCACGACAGCATCAGGACTGGGTAATTTGGTATGTATTGATGGCATAATGAATCATTCTCTTTATTTAAATATTTTAAGACACAATTTAAAATTATCGGCCCAAAATTTGGGTATTGGAAACAACTTTATTTTCAATCATGATAATGATCCTAAGTATACGGCTCTCAACGTTCGGCTGTAGTGTCTCTATAATTGTCCACAGGTTTTTGAAAACACCACCTCAGTTGCCTGATTTAAACCCCATAGAACACATTTGGAAAGAGCTGGAAGTTAGAGTACGAAAACATGACATCAAAACGAAAAGCGAACTCAAAACAGCTATGATGGAAGAATGGATGAACATTGATACAGAAATTATTTAAAAAAAAAAAAAAATCTAGTGAAATCTATTCCCTGACGTTTAAAAGCTGTTGTAGATGCTAAAGGATATCCTACTAATATTAATTTAATGAAAAATGAAAATATTTACTAATATGTCAAGATTTTTTTGAAGTGTATGAAGACTTTTGTGAGATAAAAGGTTTGTCATTTTTTATTAATTTCTTAAAAATAAAGTTTCACCATATTTTAAAAATATTTCATGTAGTTTTGTTAGGAACAGATTATAGATCTGATTATTAAAATCTCATTCAGAAAGTTTACTTTTGATTAATGGATTTCAATGAAAATCATTAAGTGTGGGAACACTTTTGGGAGCTGCTGTAATATTTAAACCATCATTAAGGTATATTTGCTCTGACATACACCTCCATTTATTATGTTTTTTCTTCTTCCTGTTAGATAGTTTATCACCATTTTTGATTTAATTATTATCTTTTGGTTATTTAATTAATTTCACAGCATACTGTGCATCTTTAATTAATTATAATATGTTTATGTATATAAACTTCAAAAACTTAAAATAAGAAGAATTAAGTTTCAAAAAGTCAATAATACCCAAGTTACATGCTTCAAGCTGCAGGAATTTGGTGGCAGTAAATTCAAAGCAACTTCTGATATCACACGCAGCTTCATAACAATGGAAAAAAGGAAGAAGAAAGCTAAAATAATCAAATACAAGAAATGGGGTGAATTTTTTTTATTATTTTTTACAGTTATTTTATAGTGATTTTTGCAGTATTTATGCCATTTCTTTTTAATTATTGCCAAATTAAGTATGCTATTTGAATCTGCTTTGAATTTAATTTGAGTTATATGTACAAGGTGGTCATAAAAAAAACTTCTTTGATGTATGAACACCTAGTGCCTTATCTGCTCAGCTAATTGAAATGAAATTTTTTTTTAAATTTATTTATTAAGTTTTTGCTAATTTCAAATTGTTATTTGAAAGTATGCATTCAAGATTGGGATGTTGTAAAGATTGGGATGCTCTTATGGTTGCGGTTACAGGGAAAAAATCTCGAAATTTTTGAATGGCGATACTCACTTTTTTCCTGCGCAAATTAATCAGCATGTTGAAAAACCATTAATGGCATTGGAACAATATACATATGATGAAAATTACCTGCATGAAACATTTGCAAAGAAGAGCATTTTAAAGGACCAATGACAATACAGGAGAGGAGCGGGAAAGGAATGACCAATCTTCAAGGTGGTGTCTTCTATCATGGCATAGCTCAGCCTCAAATTTTGATGAATGTCAGACAAGAACTTACTGAGTATGCTTGAGATGTTGCGTCTCGCCCCTTCTGTTCATTAGAACTTGCTGTGAGCTTGTTGCTGAACTTTCCCGTCTTTGTTTCAAATTTCTCTGGAATTCACCTCTTTGGAGACTGTTTGAACAGCTCATCGATAACATCTTTTTGAATAAACGTAATGACTTTTTTTAAAAGAAATTTTCCAGCTGCCTGACTTTTGCCATCCATAAAATAAAAATGTGCCTGTGTGATTCATTGAAAGTACTGCTTCATTTGTATTTATTGTAAAAAATTTTGGAACTTCTCAGATGACTGAATAGATTACTTTGTGTTATTGGAAATAAATACAGTCAAAAGTCGTTAATCCGGACGCGTCGGGACTTCGGCGATTCCGGATTATAGATCGTCAGTTTAAATCTGGTATGATGGCATGCAGAAATTATAAAATTAAAAATATGAAACCGTGATTTATGAAATAAAAAACAATTATGATCTAAGGGTACCAAAATTTACAAAAAAAAAAAAAAAAAAAGCTTAATATTTATTTGTTTACTTTATTAAACATTTCTTTCAGTGTAAGTTGTTTAAGTTGCTTTGTTTTATGTGCTAATACTTTCTCTTTAATTCTATATAAACAGAAATATTTCTTGTTCAGTTACAAAGTTTTGCTGTCAAGTCCTGTATTGCTGTGCGAGAATACCGCTACTTGTCAATCGAAATTTTTTTCGTTTTCCTAACCTCCTTTTCTTCATGCCTTTCCATTTTTTGCAGCAATTTCACTTTTGTTTGATGTACATTGAAAATATTTTCGCTTTGTAGATCCTTTGGGAGCTCCAGCTGGAAATTCTATTTGCATAATCGAAAGTTCAAGCTTACTTTTATAAATTGCTCTAACTTCTGCAAAAATATAAGCCGGATCCAATTCGAAGATTAAGGAACAACACAATCTGCAACATTAACTGAAATAGATAATTTTAGCTTAGCTTATACCGTCCGTTATACATTAAATGCGCATACATAAACGTATTACGTGCATGCATAAAGGTATTACCCGCATGCGTAAACGCATATGTGCATGCGTGAACGCATTATGCGTTGACGCATGCGAGCTTTGAGGTCCGGATTAATGACTTTTGACTGTAGTGTGATTTTAGCTAGATATTTTAGCTTATACCGTCCGTATATACCTTATATATTTTAGATAATTTTAGCTTATACCGTCCGTTATACATTAAACGCGGATGTGTAATGTATTATGCGCACACGCATATGCGCAGCCGTAAAGGTCTAACGCGCATGCGTAAACGCCTATGCACATGCGTCAACGCGATGCATGCACAGAAAGTTTGTAGCTTTGAGGTCCGGATTATGGGTGTCCGAATTAACGACTTTTGACTGTATACGTATATCAAGGGGAAAAAGTATATATAGTTCCCAGATATTTGTTCTAATTTTAAAAGTAAAAAAACATTTATATTACAATAGTTTTGGCCAGACAACGCCTTTCAGTAAAAATATACAAAATTAAAATTTTCTCAAAGAAAATTGTAATTACTAAGTTGCATCTTATGCTGTTAGAAACTTTTTTAATTCAGTATAAAAAATTGGCTTCGAAAATTGTTTTCAAAATAACTGAGCTGAAGTACTAAAACTGAGTAAAAAGAAACAACAGAAATATGATTTTCTTGGATCTTATAAAAAGGAATTTTGATAACATAATAAATGAGTTTGGAACTTGTGATACATTTCTCTCACATTTTCATGGCATTGACTAGCTGTTCTCAGAACAGAGTGTAAATGATCTCCAGTTACTTATAGTTTTAATAAATAAGTTTTAATGAAATGGTACATCAGATAATTTTAATCATAGAAGAATTATTTAATGAAGTTGATTTATCAAAATTTTCATATTCTGAGCGTTTATCTTATTTATTTCAATTTTTAAGTTGAAACCTTGGGTCTATGATCAGTCATTTAGGCATGTTGTACAATACATCCTGTATAGAATATAATATATAATAAGATCAGCTGTTAATTCTTAATAAATCTCCTGAATGACTGGAATGTTTAGTGATACGATACATTAGATGATCACATAAGAATAGTTTATTATTATTATTATTAGTGATTGTAGCATGCTTAATTCAAGTTTAAAATCTGAATGAAAATGTTACTACAAAAATCAGAGTTTATTCATTTTATCTAATGTGTTTTTTTGTTATTATTATTATGTTTATCTTTAAATTGTTATTTATATTGCAATGAATAGATTATCCTTTCCTTCTCTCTCTGCAGAAAATTCATCAAGGCAGATGACTGCTGAAAATCAAAATTCACATGCTGGTCAGCAAAAAAGAAAGAAAGTTGAAACTGCCGTAAAAAACGTAGCACCTGCATCACATGGACATTGGAACTCCAATGAAGCTGACATCCAACGAAAAATGTTATCATCAGGAATGCCAGTGCATCGCTTGCCTGTGCCACCACCTGGATTTGCACCTCATTCTTACAAGCCACCTCCTGGTTTTAAAGCAAATATAAATATGCATCAAAATTCATATCCTCAGCCTTTTGTGCAACACATCCAACTGCGTTCCCCATTTTCACGACAGGAGAATAGCCCTCCAAAGCAATATAGTGTATCACCACCAAAGAACTTCCCTGGAGCGAAGCCTTTTCCTCATGCTGCATCGATGAATATGCAACTCGGGGCACAAATTGAGCGGCATCCTGCAGCTCCCGATCAACGGCATATCCAAACACTGTGGAGGACTAAAGGGTCTCAAATAAGAGACTCTTTCACACATCAACAGCCCAATCAGCCGCAAATGGTTGAGCACCGACCTCGGACCCGTTCTAACATTCTCCCTTTCAGTCCCAGCTATTTAGGTGACAAGCGGCAATGTTGAGATGCATTTCATTATTTTTATTAATGACAGGTTGTAAAAGTACTGCTGCTACATTTTTTAAAACAAAGAGTGCAGTCGCACAAATGATGTTGTTAATGTTTTAAGTTTTGGACTTATTGTTCAAAAGGCAGTTCTTCTTATGCTGTCCTTCCCAACAAAAAATATCAGTTGAATTTAAATGCATCTGGATAAAATTTAATTTGAAAGTGCATCTTTAGAACTATTCTTTTAGCACTCATTTTCATCCTGCAATAATGGTAATAATTTTTTTATGAATTTAAAAAAAATGTATTCAATCCAAATAGCAAAATATTTATTTGTATATAAATTATTTACTGTGTGTGTAATCTTTGTGAAGCACTTAATTTCTTTATAACACATGTAATTTTTGACAGTATTTAATAATATCACTTTTGCTATCCATAAAAAATATTATTAGTTAACTCTCAGTTTATACTTAAGTCAAAATATGTGTTTTTGTGCATCTCATTAAATCAAAATTTGCTTTAAGCTCTTGACGTTTATAATGGGGAAATAGCAGAAAGTTTCATTGTTTTTTACTCTGAAAAGAGACAACAAAGCTTCCTTAAGCATTTTATAAATTAAAAAAAATTATTCAAGTTATTATGTAGTTTATTAATTTGAAATTATTACAATATCATTTTAAAAATCTCTCCGAGATTACATCTAGTCTACATTCTCAGCTTATCTTCATCAAAAAGATGCATTTTTCAAATTAGTGTGAAAAGTTAGAATATGTAATGCATGAAAGGAATCTGAAGATGCATTTCACTAGATCATCTTAGTTACAGATTGCTATCTTATTTGTTAACAGAAAATTAAAAATTGCTAAAAATGTCTTTTGAAGCCTAATATATAATTCATATGTTTAACATTATTGAAATTTTTGTTATATTGTGTAATTTGATTTTCTGTACATATTATACAGAATTATAATTATTTCTAAAGTAATCACTAAAATTATTGAATTATAATATCGACATTGAAATGTACTCCTCTTTATATTAATTTTGGTTTAACTTGCTTATATAGTAATTTTGGTTTACTGTAATTTGCCAAATTTTTGTAGTCGTGCTTTTAAATGATCCAGAACTGTAATACATCATTTAAGTCTAATGAAAAGTTATCAAAAAGTACATTTTATTATAGCGTTTTGAAAATTTAGGCTGAAAATTTTCTATTATGAAGTAATTCTTTTAAAATGAATAAAGATTTTAAAGGAATGATAATATATTTTCAGTTGTTAATTTAATTTTTGAATCTTTTCAGTTTCATAGTTATATGCATTTCAGGCATAAATTATGTTTGTCAGTGTGTGCATTAATTATATATGTATGAATTGTGTGAGAAAATATTTTACACTTTTTTCCCCATCAGTTCTTGTGATGCTTAAATTTGAACTTATTGGCATAAGGTTATTTAAATAGGTATGATTTGCTGTGAATATTATTCGTAATGTTGTGTAAATCAGGGAAGGGGGGACTGCAATCAAGTATGTAAATAAATTTTTACTTCTTTAAAAAGAGGTTATTATTTTGTATACTGGTGATATTGGGATAGATGGTGGCTTTAATTTTTTTCTCCATTTGTTTTCATGTGATACATTTATTACTTCTTCTGTTATTTAAATGTGTGTTCTGTGGCTTATTAAGATTCATATGTTAATGGATAAGAGATGTTTGGTGATGGGATGAATATTTTGAAGGTTATGTAATGTACACATTAGACATACAAGTGTAGAAGGGAATACTGTTTCTTCATTATTTCCATTTAAAATCCTCATTTTGTGTTTTTCGAGTGTATTAAAAATGACTTGCTTTATTAGATTTTTAACACAACTAGCTATTCAACATTAGTAGCAATGTATATATATTGATTGTTATAATGAACGTGATAAGCAAATATGACAATATCATTGAACACTAAATTTAATAAAATTAATAAATTAATTTTTTTAATTTATTAATTTTAGATTTCAATTTATTAATTCAAGGTTCAGATTTCAAATTATAGAGCAATGTAAAACATGTTTTTAATCAGTAAGCAGGCAAGAATCAAATTGTTATATTTGAGTAACTTTGAAATTTAAGTTAATTGCTAAATCAACTGAATTTTCATCAAGAATACCATCCACTATACCAGGGTAATAATATTTTATTCATACTAATATTATAGTGAAAATTATTATGCATTTCGGTCAGTAAAATAATTATGATTAATTATTACCATAATTCTAAACTCTAAAATTTGCTTGAACTACTGTGTGAACGAACATTACGAAAAAATGTGGGATGTTCATTCTGTATTTAAAACTGAAGATAATCCTTAAGAAAAGACCTGGATTTAAGAGTTTTGGTTCCAAATGGTTTTTTTCAATCAGGTGTTATTTTATACCCTATATTTAAACAAAAAAAGTATTTTAAGTTGTAATATTTTTCAGCGTTTAACGTATTAAGTCATTAAAATCATTTTCTAAGAGGTTATAAGGGGTTTGAGGAGTACGTAAATGCTGTAAATTACAGCAAAACTTAAAACTACTAATCAGGTCTTATGCCAGTATATGTTATTAATATTACAAAGAACTAGTACAATTTGATAAGTTATTTTAAATTTGACAATCATGCTTATATATTACTTTATTATAGGTGACTTTGTTATGTATCTTAGAACATATTTCTTAAAGTTTCTCTGCTAATTTAATGTTATATTGTTTACTGGCTGTGGGTAGATATTACTGTAATTTTAACATTGTCAGTTTAATGCATTGAAATGCATTTTAGTAACCAATATTTGTTTTCAATTTATTTTAATCTGTGAGCTGGAGCAACTGAAATAAATACAAATTTATTAATGGATTTATTTCCGAACATTATAAGTTCAAACATTCAGAAATTATTCTTTCCTATCTGAAACCTCTCTGAATAGTTGCACTTTTCTTAATGCTTTCGTTTTTCCTTATTGAATGACTAGGAAATTGTTATGGTTTTCATGTATGAATGCATTTTTATTTATGTTCTTAAGCTCCATAGAAAATAACTTTATCTCAAATTAGCATAATACTAGAACTACTAAAGGTCAATTATGCCTATTGTAACTGTGGTAGTGTCATTGGTAGTTCTAGTATTAAAGAATATATTTATTTCAAATAAATACCTATGTTAATGAGACGGAATATATTTATTTCAAATAAATACCTATGTTTGTGAGACAGTCTCTTTTGCCTGTATCTTATAAATGAATACCTTGTTTATAAGGTAGCATATTTTGCTGTATGCATTTCTTGTGAAGTAAGCTCACATGAATGTCCTCAATTCAAACATTCTTGCTATTGATGTTTAATATTCAAAATTTACTTTTGGAGAGATGAAAATTTTGCAGTTTTTATAATGGCACTGACTATATCTAAATATTTTCACGCAAATTTCTAAATATATGTGTATTATTCCACTTTTTTGAATACAGACTTAAAAAAAAATGTAGTTATTCGTTTGTACATACATGAACATGTAGCAAATATGTAATTACCCTTATAATAAAACAATGGTCATTAGAAGGACTGAACCAGACAGTTGATAGATTCATAAGGTATCAAAGTAAAGCAGTCATTCAGTTATAGAAGTTTGCAACACAAGTATTAGATTTCAAAGAATTTAGTTAGAAACTTTTCTGTAACAAAAATTAAATCAAATCTTTAAATGTGTTATAGAAGTATATGGAGCAGCAATGATTTGGATGATTATGAAAATATGTTATAAATACTGCAAAAACTGTTGTTTATGATATATATCTATCTCAGGTTTCCGTTTCTTATCAGTTACTTAAAAATAACATCAAGATGATAATTCACATTTCATTTTGCATACCGTATTTGCTGGTGTATAAGACGCACCCCCTTTTTATACATACTTTTTATGGATAAAACTTTATTACTGATCATTATAGGAATTTACAGTATTTTAAACATAAAATAATACAAAGTAATATTTTCTTCAAATACCCAATGTATCTGGGAAAGAAACCTAATCTCCTTCGTCAAAATCCAGACATTCATCTCCAGAGCTAAATGAAGAGTCACTTGAAAGCTCTTCTAAATCTGCATCTCAGTCCTCATACAACAAATTGTCCTTTGTATCATCCAGTGCATTACTAAGGCCACAGTTTTTAAATGATATAACCACCGTCTTTGTTTTCACAGCATCTCGTGAAACTTAACCCATTCACAGACTATGTATCAATGCAAAAAGTGTCGATGTATAAGGCACATCCCGTTTTCCAGACCTATTTTCAAAGGAAAAAAGTGTGTCTTATATGCTGGCAAATATGGTACATTGCGAGCTTTTCTATGCATCTTGTTCAAAATTTAATGCAGCGTTACCTGAAATTCAAATTGCTTCGGGTCCTGTGTATTACATAGTACTTCTCAAAATTTCTATTATAATACTTATATAAGTTCTGTAGAAAAGAAATAATATTATATAGATAAATCCAGTGATCTGGCAGGCCATAAAATATTTTTATTCTTTGGCATAGCCTAAATAAGATATTAATTGGAATGTGAATGGAAGTCCTTGAAATGTCTCATTCGTCATTGTAAAATCATCTAATTCGTTGTCACACCCTATATTTTTGGAAGTAGTAATGAGAAATATTATTAAAAATATCCAGCGGCAGGTTACTGTACTATTACCACCTGAAATGGATCCATTTATACAATCAGTGGAAGAATAAAATTTCTAATGCACTTAAATTTGCCATTGTATTTTAATATTTAAAAATGTTTTGTGCCTGTAGTAATAAACCTATTAAAAATAGCACTTTAACATAGAAATCATTCTCTTGCTTTGTTATGCAAAATAATTTAAATATTTATATTTTATATGTCAGTATGCTCATAAAAGGATAATGTTTTTGTATGTTTCATTGAGATTGATAAGTAATATAGTGCATAGTGTCATAAATGATCAAAATCTTTATGATTCTGAGGTATCGGCTTAGCCATTAAACTGTGTTATTTCCATGTATTGAATGTGAATATCATTGGAGTATTTTTTGTGTTCAGCATACTCATATCCCAGTCTTAGATGTTAGTATATCAGTGAGTATGCTGAGATAACACGAAAACATTGTTAATTCAAAAATGGCCTTATGCTATAAAAAATGAATTCAGCTAATGTTTTTAAATAATGATAAAATTTATACTGATTTATAAGTGTTTTTGCCATTAACAGAATATTGTAATCCTTTTTTATAATTATGTTGTTGTGGTCAATGGGGTAGTTAGAAGTATCACCTGGCAGTTTATCATTAAACACAAATCAGTTTGATGACTCATTTAATTTAATAACTTATATGTATATACCAGTAGTCACTGTTGATCATACTTGCTTTTTTAATTTTCATCTTCAGTGTCTTTTTGCCACTGTTTTGTTGCCCATTCTTAAGCCACTAGATTAAGAATATATTGGTTTGGTAAATTCCTTCATCTTATTTGTCTTTCTTAGTCACTTTTCCATGTTTACTTCTCACACCTTTTGGAAACCGTAACATTAGAAATAAAATCCATTATGACTGAGTTCTTTTATTCTTCATTGGCATAGCCTTCCTAATTAAAAATGTTAGGGTTTAGTTATGAATTAATTATAAACTTCCTTCTGCTCCTTGCTGTGAGGAGAAAAATAGTTATCAGCCTGTTTATCAGCCAAAAATGATAAATATGTGAGCAATTAGATATTCAATGAAATCTAAGTGTTTATGGTTTTATAATTGCAATTTTTTTCTGTTTCATTAGAATGTTACTGTGTCAGAATGATTACCAAAATTTCATCTTTTATTGAAAATATTTTGAAAAATGTTATAATGTGTTACATAATTTTTGAATGAAATGACTTTTAAAAATTTCTGTTAAATATGAGGTTAGAAGAAAACAAAAAGTTAGAAAATTGATACTGATAATATAGAAAATCATTTAAAAGTAGTTATTTCATAATATATATTACTTTGGAACTTACCAAAACTTGTTTAAGGCAAAGTGGTTTTAAAATAAATGCAAGCAATAATTTATTCAGAAAATTTATTTGATGATTATTTTTTATTGCCTATCTAGAATAAAAAAAAAAATAGCCGAAGTCTTCGTATTAAGAATTTTGCCACTTTTAAAACATATCCACTTCATTCTTATATTGAAAAATGCAAGTAGGAGATGTATATGCAAGTGTAACTCAGATTACAAATTTAAGTCAGTCAGTTAACATTGTGTAACAATTGTATATTTTTATCCATTACATAATATTTGAAGTTGATTTTAAAGTGCCAGTTTTTACTCTATGCCATTGCTAATTGAATTGTTGATATATAACTGTTTTTCTTGCTATGTCTGGAATTTTAAGTGTGCATCAATTAGATGTGCATGTACTGATATTGGATATTCAGGTTTTCACTGTAATTCTATAAACATTATCTTAATGCTACTTTTGTGCTTAATTTTTCACTTGAATATGTTTTAAGTAAATAAATGTACTGTTTTTATTGAGAAATGCAGTAACTTTATAACAAGTAAATTAATTGGACAATAATAAAAATTTATAGTCTTGGACTAGTGTTTTTGAATGAAAAGGATACAGTTAAAAAATCCAGTTGAGATGTTTTGGGAACTAAGAAATTTTAAGTGTTATTAAAGTGTAAATGCCATTTTGAAAGACTACTACTAATATTCATTAATAGCTGAATGAAAAATGGTTTGTTTGAGAACAAGAAATTGCCTGATGTAAAGAGTAAATTAAGGTAAATATTTAGTCAGCAACAGGCATGTATCCGGATCCGGATACTTATTGTATTGCATACTCGATTCTGAATCTAAAATCATTTTGTTGTGCTAATTTCCAGATAGTTGAATATATTAGGGGTCCTATTACGATAGAATATTGCCGCATGCACTGCCATCTATTGTAGAAAAAGGAAAACTGTTTGCTTAGCCACTAGATTTGGTTAAGGCAACAAGCTGGAGCATGTCTGTAGAATGCTTAGCATACAATTAGCATTCTTTAAGTTTTTAAATTTCTGTAATACAGACCACTCCAGTTTAGCTTAGTAGATTCTGATCATTCATTTGAATAATTAGGAACTTAAAGAAGAAAGCACTAATTAACATGTCAGAAGATACTGGATAGCTGCAGCTGCAGAAGGAATCATATACCTTTTTTACATAAGGTAAACTAACTTTCATCCACTTTGAAAATCCAGTTTAGGATATTTTTCCTTTTATTATTATTAGCCCAAAAGAGCGTTAGTTCAGAAGGGCCATTAATTTCGTTTTGTCATTTTGTATCGATTCACTGTAAATGTCCGTATCACTTTTCAAACTGTTGTCACCAAATATTATCGCCCTGTGTTATATTTAAAGAAGTTAAATTATGAAAAATCAGCATAAATGTATGTTTCTCTCATTGTGATAAAAAAACGGTACCTAGAGCCATCCAATTTTTAATAACGTAGTCATCCTTTGAATATGAGCATCTGGAAGCCCAAATTTGGAATATGTTTTATTTGATTTAATATTTTGTAACACTTTAACGAATTTGTGATTAAGAAACTCGATGATTTCAAAGCGAGCAATGGCAACACTGTACGAAAGAGAGGGGGGGAATATGTCTAAGGCAGGAGACTGTGTATCGGAAATTCTAAAGATATGCTCATTTAAAAATTTTTTTGTCATAAAACTGAAGTTTATGGCCTAAGTGCGAAGAACATGATATTACTAATAAAGGTACATAGAAAACGTAAAAAAGCCTCCACTGGGCAGAATAAATCTTAAGTATCTCATGTTTGCAAATTAGTTTCTGACATTTTCTAAGGATCCGTGTAGATATCTCTAATGATCCAACATCGTCTGTATAGGATTGTTCACACTTTTGTACGATTTTGCAAGTTTATGTATAAAAAAATCTTAGAATTTATTTTCTTCTTTTTCTTCTGACGCCCTTTTGTGACTATCATTTAATCTTGATTCCAAGATAAAAGTCCTTTTCTTAATGTAAAGTTGACTTTTTGACTCTTCTTCACATCTCCATGCAGTTTTTGGATGCCCTTAAAAGCTTGTTTTAAAAGTCCAGATGCACAGTAATCCCTAAATAATATATCGGGACTGGTGGATTTTTAAAGTAATCTTCATTCCGGTTTTATTTCTCATTTTTTTCAAAATTATATAGCATATTTAGGGTATGTCTTTAGAGCCTTATCCTGAGGAACTCACATATCGAGATTGTTTGGCTACAAGGTGATTTTTTCTCTAACCTATTTTTGATAGTATCCGAATTAATTTGACATTTTTTTTCTACTTTACTTATTTTAAGTTTTCCTTATAGAGAATCTAATAACATAAAAATTTGAAAAACTTCCCTTATATCTTCGAACCGCTATAATCTTTTTCTCCCTTTTTCTTAGTAACCGCTCTTTTGTATTGCAGTCGATACTCAGCCTCAATTATACGCATATTTTCATTTTTTTCACCTGCCAATTAGTTTTACCACAATCGCACATAGTCTTGTGAAATAAACCTGTTCGGCTTAGACGAGAACATCATGCTTTTTTCTTTGATTGATCTGATTTTAAATTTTGTTCACAGTTCCTACAAATTTTTTAAGATTTAAATAGCTCTTTGAGGGGGTGGGTGCTGATTTTCTCTAACATTAGATGCGCTTCATATTTAATAAGAGCGTACGTACTTGTTGGTATGCATTTTTTTGCTTTTTCCCGTCGATGTAACTTGACGTTTCTTTCTTTTCATATATTCTATCACTTTTTTTCATGTAGAAATATTAAACCTTCTTTCATACTTTCTTTTAAACAATGAATAAGAGTACTTTCTTTTTTTAACGGCTGCAAAAATATGTCTTCTATACATTGTTTTATTTTCAGCGACATTTTAGAACTATTTTTATGAGCAGCAGACGATGTTAAACCTCCCTATTTTGCCACTCGGTATGTATTTTGAAAGGGGGTATAGGATCTTTACATTCATGGTGGAAAAATATCAGGGGACACAGTCTTTGTTACCAAAAGTTATGTGGATAACAAGGAAACCCGGCTGTGTGGGGTTGGCTATGTAGGATTGTTAGCTTCTGGTGCAATACTTCGCTCACGGATTTGTGGGTTTTCACCATTACAGTATGAGGTATCGTTCGGTGGAAAAAGGGACGTGAGATAGACGAAACAAGACATGCTGAAGAAGAGTAGAAATGTAATTAATGTGGTACAGGTGAGTATAGTAATCAGCTGGAGTATCGTGCTCAAGATAAGACTAAAACATGTAAACAATGGAGTACTTCTGTAATATAGAACACACAGAGGAGGGCAACACTACGACACAATAGAGTTCGGAATTAACAAATGACTCCCCTCTCAATCCTGATGAAACAATACAATAGGAATATATCGCTTTACAAGATCTAAAGAGAGGGATAGTGTAATCTCTCTACTCAGCCCGGAATGTAACGACTTCCTGGGATTTGTAATGCTTGAATCACGGGCCGGAAGTGCCAACAGCAAATCTATAGCCGCAAGATAAGTGGCAGGAATAGTACAAGAGAAAGCATAGCTTTTACAGCGGCTGAAGGCGTGTAAACGATCAAGCGTCTCTACAGTTAATGTCTAGAGAGTGTAATTCAAATAAAAAAAATAGCTGATATATAGCCAGCGATAGTCAGGTGAGAGAATCAGCGGTCATACGATTACAATGAATCGATTGCAATGTCAGTACTGAAAGGACAAACGGGTCCCCGACTACTGGGTAGTGGTGGATACCGAGAGTGTAATGCAGCGGATGATGGAGCAGGACAAATGGTGTGAAGAGTACGCCAAACGTACAGGGGTAACATAAACACAGGAGGGATGTGTGAACAAATTTAACACGTAAGCGAAGGTAATTGGCGGACATCAATATGAGGAGGGGTGGTGAAGTTATATGAGATACGGTGTATAACACGCGCCCAGAATCTGTACATCCATCAAAAGGCGTCGAAACGAATTGAGGGGCAAAAAGCGAAAAAGGACGGGAGGAAAGGCGGTAGGCAACGCGAGACGAAATGGGACAGACCTAGAGGTTGGGGTCCAAGGGCGGGGTCCCGTAATGTCCTGTTCACAGTTACGTGCTAGTAAGGTGATCAGCAAGTCATCAATCAGCTAAGTCTGCATCTGAGATAAGTATCAGAGCGAACAGTGCCGAGACAGCCAGGGAGGAGAAATGAGGGGGTAGAGAGGAGAAGAGGGGACGCGTCCTGCGGGGGCGCCCCACGGGGAGGGGTGCGTAAGACGCGCAACGAAGCACACAGCACAGGAGGGGGGCGTGGCCATGTGTGGGTGCGACAAATCGGGGCGACGGTAGGGGTGGATGACGTACGGGTACTATCGTCCGGAAGGGAGCGGGTGGGGGCGCACGGTGGATCAGTACGAATATTCACGGACTGGCAGTGTCGGGTGGAGGGTGGTGGGGGTGGAAGGAATAGTAGAGGTAGAGTGGGTGTGCGGCGTAGGGGGAAGTGTGGTACAGGGGTAAAGAGCGATATAGAGGTTATGGTGTATCCGGAATTCTAGGGGCTGGAAGAGAATGAATAAGGCATACAAGACCGCGTAGGGAAGGAGCAGTACGGCATGTTAAGGTTGGGGGTGGGGGACAGAGATAGTACTGTGTAAAGCGTGCAGAAAGGAAAGGGCATGTGGGCAAGGAAAGGAGAGAGCGAGGGATAGAGGCCATAAGCGCTGGGGGGAGATGTGAGGGGGGTAGATGTGGAAAGGGAAAGAGGGGGAAGGGGAATGAAGTGGGCGAGGGAAAAAGGGAATCTGCAGCACATAGAGCATTGTACTACGGCGACAACGGGGGGTGAAGGGGATGCGGGCGAAAGTGCAAAGGCGTTGTGGACATCGAGGACTGGGGTTGACTGGAAAGGGGGGGGGAAGTGAGGCTGTGTTCAGTATGGGTCAGCCCGTAAAGGTAATAAAAGGTAAGAGGGTAAAATGCGTGATTGGTGGAATACAAGCGGAAGGGAGACCAATGGACGCGTAACGGTGTGGGACAGGAATGTGGGACTGGGGGGGGGTTGTAAGAATAAAACTAAAATGGGCCTGACATGTGGTGGGTTTCTGCGGGGTAGTAAGGTAATGTGGGGGTGGGTGGGTGGAACATTGTAATGACGGGGACAGGGGGTAAGGGGTGGTAGTGACTGCTGGTTAATGCATCTGTGCTGCAAGGGCCTGAAGAGGCGGGATAGGGGTGGTGATGGAGAGGGGCAAATGGTTGGTGGCGTAAGACCGTGCGAGGAAATGAGAAGGGGGGTGTGCTTCGAGAGAGGAAGACTCTGGGGGGTAGCGTTGAAAAAGGTACCGGGTGAAGCAGTAAATGGAAGATGATCATGACAACACAGCCACACGACAAGGGGGAATAGTGTACAGGACTGCACTGGTGCATGCACCAGCGAAGCCGTGCCAGGCGGCGGCGTGACAACAAGCACCCACGTTGGAGGGCGTAGAGCATGACACGACTGGTGTGTGTTAAAGTAAACAATGCAAAGTGGGGTTGCAAAAAAAACAACGCCAAATAAG